TTTCTTTCTCTCTTTTCTCTCTTTCTTTCTTTCTTTCTTTCTTTCTCTTTCTTTCTTTCTTTCTTTCTTTCTCTTCTTTCTTTCTTTCTTTCTTTCTTTCTTTCTTTCTTTCTTTCTTTCTTTCTTTCTTTCTTTCTTTCTTTTTTTCTTTCTTTCTTTCTTTTAGACTAGAGAGAGATTTTACAAGTTTGTTTGTTTTCTCTCCAAACCTGGCATTTACGAAACACAATGCCCTCTGCAGGAGTTTTTGTTTTTGTTTTTGTTTCCTGATATTCTGTGTAAAAAGCTTTCTGACAAGAAGAGGAACTTATATGTTACAAATATGGTGGGGGTTTCTGCTTAATTATGGTAAGGGTCTTTTGGTGGGGGTCTCTGGTCTACTTCAGTATTAGAGGCAGGGAAGTCAGGTGGAGCGTGGAGACTGGAGAAGGCTTTCTTGGTGCATCATAAGGTAGCAAAAGGCATCACCTGGTGAGAGAGTGGGAAGAGAGAACGGAGGACGAGTGTGGGATGCAGTTGTGCTTTTTTGCGAAGGGCGCTCCTGCAGTTTCCCACTCTTGCCACAACCACAGTAATGCCTTCATGACAGCGCAGTCCTCCTGTCCTATCCACCTCTCAGTATAATCACAAGCAGAATTAAATTTCAACATACATTTTAGAAGGGACATTCAAACCATACTGCTCTGCCCTGGTTCCTCCCAAGTTCATGTTCTTCTCCCATGCAAAATACATTCATTCCATCCCAGTAGTCCTATATGTCTTAGCTTGTTCCTGATTCAACTCAAACCTCCAAAGCTCAGACTAAATAGATACGGGTAAGACTCAAGGCAAGATTCATCCCTTAAGCTATGAGCCTGTGAAATCCAAACTTATCTATTACCAAAATACATTGTAAGACAGGCCTAAGAGAGACATCCCCATTCCAAGTCAGAAAAATATGCAAGAAAAAGGAGCGAAAGGCCCCCAGATAAGTCCCAAACCCTATAGTGATAATAACATTGTCTTGAAACTCTAGTCTTTCACTCTGAGTGCCTCCTCCTGGACACAGGTATATGAGTTGGGCCTCCAAAGCCCTGGACTTCCACCCCATGACTTTCCAGAGCTCGGTTCGCCTGGTAGCTCTCAGAGGCTGGAGTCTTCGGACTACTATCCTTACAAGCTGGTGATGCATTCTGGGAGCTCTGCAGTGCTGAGGTCTCTGGGACTTCCCCACTCCCACAGCTCCACTGGGCATTGCCTCGTGGGGTTTCTCTGTGGTGGTTCCACCCCAGTGTCATCATCTTTGCATGGGCCCCCAGGCCACCCAATGCTAGGTGGAGGCACATCTCTCACAGACCTTGTGTTCTATAAGTCTGAAGACTCAATACCACATGGACACCACCATCATTTTATTGCGTGTGCCCTCCATAGAGGTGGCTTGGACCGCACCTAGGCCTGCTTGAACCATAGCTGGGAAAGCTGAGGAGCATGGGGTAGAATGCGGGGACAGAGACTGAGGCAGCACTGGGCAGCCAGCCCATGGAGGGCACCCCTGACCCACCCTAAACCGTTTTGCCCCTATCGAATTACGAATTACGGTGGTAGAAACAGCTTCAAAGTTCTGAGAAATGCCTTGGGGATCATTTCCCATTGTCCCAAAGAATCCCACCTGGCTTTCTTCTATCCATAGTCTTCTTAGGAAAAAAAAAMCAAAAGGTCACTTGATTACATACTTGTTTTGCTCTTCTTAATKACCCCTTTTCACTCTCTGGTACCCAGGATGCAAATTTTCTAAATCTGTCTGTTCAACTTCCTTTTTAACTCTGAATTTCATCTCTAAGTCATTTATTTCATCTTGTTCTTCATCCTATATAGCAGTTAACAGCAGTCATGTAGCAGCCTGATGGTTTTCCTTCTTAGATATTTCATCTGCCAAATATGCCATTTACTGCTCTTAAGTTCTGTGTTCCATAAAGTCTTAGGATATGGATACAATTCAGACAAATTTTTTTGCAGCTATATAATAAGGATGGCCTTTACACCAGTTTCTAATGCATGACCCTCATTTCTACCTGAGACTTGATCAGAATGCGCTTTACTGTCCATATTTCTCTCAATAGTCTGGTCATGACCACATAATAGCTAAGATTCTGACTTCCCCTGTGGCTGTTCTCTTCTGAAGACCTTTCACCTGTACCATTCTTATGCTCCATTAATCTAGAACAAGATTTTTCTAGCCTGTTCTTCCAATTATTTCAGCCTCTACCCATTACTAACTTCCAAACCATCCTACACATTTTCAGGAATTTTTATAGCAACAGCCCTACTCCTGGGGCCAATTTCCTGTTTTAGTCCAATTCCTAGTACTRTAACAGGATACCACAGAATGGGTAAGTAATTACAAAATAGAAGGAATTCCCAGATCAAGGATCTACATTTTTTTTTACTTCTATATGACAGCAGAATGCATTACAATTCTTATTACATATATAGAGCACAACTTTTCATATCTCTGGTTGTATACATAGTATATTCACACCAATTCATATCTTCATACCTGTACTTTGGATAACAATGATCATCTCATCCCACCATCATTAATTACCCCAGATCCCCTCCCTTGGATTTACATCTTGAGAAGTTATTATTGTTGCATCATGAGATAGAAGAAGGTATCACATGGCTAGACTACATGTTTAAAGAGAGACAGAATGGTGCAGGCTGAACTTCCCCTTTTATGAGGAGCCTACTCCCACAATAACCATTTCCACAATAATGGCATTAATCTATTCCTAAGGGTAGAACCCTCATGACATCTCTTAAAAGTCCCACTTGTTACCATCATCACAATGGCAATTAAATATCAACATTTTGAAGGGGATATCCAAACCATAACAGATACTAAATATTCAAGCCTCCTAAGGAGAATTAATCAGATAGTGGAATTTGCATCTCTGTTGATTTTTGGGAAGATAAGCATAAGTGTTATTTTATTTAATTTTATAAATGGCCCATTAACTTCATCATGGCTTTGTATTACTTCTAGGACACCTTAACACATATTCTAAGTAATGGAGGATACTATGGTTTGAATGGTCCCACCAAAACTCATGTCAAAAYTTATTTGCCATCAAGAAGAGGGACCATTAAGAAGTGATTAGACCATGAAAGCTTTATCTGCAAAAATGGATTAATATAGTTATCTTGTAGTAGATTCCAGGTAAAGCAGTCTGACTCTCTGTCTTATGTGTTCACTTGCCAATTCAAATTCCAACAAGGGAAGACAATACCAAGTCCCATGTCGTGCTCCTGGAAAATTCTGGTCTATATAACCATGAGACAAATAAATTTCTTTTTTATCAAATTATCATAGCAGCAAGAAACGGACAAAAACAATGGACAAAAAATACATATATATTATATGTAAATATAATATATATGCATATATATGTGCACACATATACATAAATATCATATATATCTTACATATATACCATATATACAAATCATTATATATGATTAAAAATCTCATATTACACATACATATAATATCCTATTATTGCATATATCTATGAAATTTCCAAGTATATTATATATATATAATGCACATATATACACGATATATATACAAATAGGAAGATTATATATATCACATATATATGTGTGTACACATGTATATTCATACAAAAGCGCGCACACACACACACACACACACACACATTGACACTCATGCACATAGAAAAGACCCTCCATCATGTGGAGATAAACCTTATCACTGACATTATAGCAGACATTTTATCCCAATTAAACAACCAAAAAAATTTATGATGCCTTTACAGTAACAACTTGGAGATGACTGTGAATAGTGTGGCTGCATTGGATAACCTATACTCACAAGGATCCCTCATCTGAATGGTCCTAGAGGAGGCTATAAGAAACTTGACCTGAAACACTTTTCTTCCCCAAACAGCAAATCACTGCAGATTCATCAAGCATCAGAAGTTCCAATTTCAAAACAAATAGAAAAACCCGCTTCATCATTCATGGATTCACAGACAAGGGAGATGAAAACTGGCTGGCCAACATGTGCAAGGTGAGGCCTGGTGAACTTGTACAGGAACCTTGTCTCAGGGGCAAGTAAGGCACTGGCCCCATCCATGGAGGACAAATGCTGGTCCCCACCACCCTGGAGGATCCTGTGACTCTTGCAGACCCTGAGTTCCCAGGGGAGGTGCAGGAGAAGGTGGGGTGGAGGCACCTGGGACAGTCAGGGCAGTGAGGTGGGCAGGCATTTGGTGGCTCCAGGAAGTGATTATTTAATAGCAATTCCAGGGTGGCTTCAGAAYTCAAGCTACATAGCTGCCTAGCAGATGCATCCCTGCTGTGTGCTCATTGGCTTTTAACCTTCACATGAAGAGCTAAAGAACTCGTTTTTACCCAAACTAACACTTTCCCTTCCATTTTCACTGGTTCCTCTYATCTCTGGTAGCAGTACTTAGGAAAAGCACAGTGAGTTTTCATTTTTGGCTTCTGTTATTTCAGCAGAAGTGATCCTGTTTTCTTTACTTTGCCTTTGGCTGTGTTACCAGATAATGAAGATTTTAAAGACAAATAGAAAAAGCTTTCCTATTAATGGCTAGTGTCTGAGAAACATTGATGCATTTATTTGCATATTTATTCTTTTTCTTTACCAAGTATCTATTGCAGCAATGACACAAAGCTGTCGTCATTTCCTCCAAAGTGTCAAGAAGACACAAAGGCCTTCCTAAGCCCATTTGATTTCCCACCTGTCTCTGACCCCAGCCGAAGGCAGAACAGAGTTCACTCAGAGCATTTAGCTAATCTGTCTAGATGAGCACACTGGAGTCCATTCACTTAGAAATAATCTGTAAAACCACAGCCTACTTCCTAAAACACTTTAAATWGTATAGGACAAAATATGTGATTCTTAACTGCAGGGAATATAATTTAAGATATTGCAATACGTTTTTTCTAAGATTCCAAGAGCAAATTATTGTTTTCTTTCATTTGCTTTGTATTTGGCAATAACGCTGCATTATGATAAAAAAATTAGTGGATTAAAATTGATGGTAAAGGCCCTGGATTCCAGCCCTGACTCTATCCTACTTTACCATGGCATTAGTAAACCAGTTTCCTTCTTTAGATTTTTTTTTTCCTTCTGCAACACAAGAGTTGGGGGATGATTTCAAAAATTGCTTCATTATTCTTAAATTCTTTTTTAATAGTTTTTTTTAGTTGTAGATAGATACAATATATTTATTTATTTATTGTGGTGCTGAGGATCGAACTCAGTGCTTCACACATGCAAGGCAGGTGCTCTACCACTGAGCTACCAGCCCCTATTCTTAAATTCTTTTGGAGGGGAAGTTGGGATTATGTACAAACACTCAAACGATTTCTACCAGAACTACTTTTCATGAAACCATAATTGTGCTCTATCGGATTCTCCAGTAGATACCTGGCAGGCTATGTTTTAGGGGAGGTAACTTCAGTGATGTGCAAAGAAATCGTCTCATCCAAAACTCTGATTAGCATTTTCATTATGAAAAAGCCTACTCCCTTACCTTCAATGTATTTATGTATTTAAGGGGTAGGGGGGTCCTGGCTGACTCCCACTCATTCACTGTTTACTAATTGAGCACCTGCTCTGTGYCAGGAACTGTTCTAGACCCTGAGCATGCAGCAGTGAGAGACAGACAATGTCCTCTGGGGCAAGGGACAATGTAATATTATGGCATTCAAGATGTTCTAATGAGACCACCCAATCTGCCTTGTCTGATACTATTGTCTGAATCAGTTGTCAACCTATACATCTGTTATAGTAGAAATCCCAAGAACCCAGTTCCTGAGATGGCCACACTTCTAGGTTGGAGTCAATTTTAAACTTTAGGAGGGATTATTTATCCATTACAGACTTGGCCTTTTGCTCTTAACTTTAAGGTTAAAGTGACATGATAAAAAATGTACAGATCAGGGAGAGGATTTGTCCTGTGCTCAAATGTGTTAATAAGCAATTAATAATGGTCTTGAATTATGTGCCTGTTTCTTGTACCTCTTGCATCAGAACATGATCCAAGTAGAAAGTGTGAACTGCATCTGTGTGGACTGGAAAGGAGGCTCCCGGACCGGATACACCCAGGCCACCCAGAACATCCGGGTTGTGGGGGCAGAAGTGGCCTACTTCATCAATACCCTTCAGGTAACTGCATCCAGGTTATTGAAAACACTCATACCTATTGCTTTCTGSGTTCTTCTTCCAAAAGAAAGTTGTTGATATTCTAATTTTCTTGTTTAAATTTGTTTTTAAAAATTTTTTGTTTTGTTTTAATTAGTTATACATGACAGTAGAATGCCTTTATGCACTTTGATATATCCTACATAGATGGGGTAAAATTTCTCATTTTTCTGATTGTACATGTTGTAGAATCACCTTGGTCATATATATATAAAATGTCTGTTTCCTTCTACTGTCCTTCCTATCCCCAATACCATCCCCTCTCCTTCCTGTACTCTCTCTACCTAATCTAAGGTAACTCTCTTCTTCCCTAGTGACTCCTCCTCTTATTATGAATTAGTATCTGCATATTAGAAAAACATATTTGGTCTTTGTTTTGGGGGGTTTGGCTTATTTCACTTAGCATAATATTCTCCAACTCCATCCAYTTACTAGCAAATACCATAATTTCATTCTTCTTTAAAGCTGAGTAATATTTCATTAAATATATATACCACATTTCTTTATCCGATCATCTACTGAAGGACACCTAGGATGGTTCCATACTTTAAATTTATTTTTTAAGTGATACGTTAAAAAAAAATTGTACAGTATCTACAGATCATCATGTGATGTTTTGATATATGTATACATTATGTTGTGTTCAAACCAGAGCAAACATATATCTCATCAAGTATTTCATTCTTTTATGGTTCAAAATCATTTCTTCTAGCTTTTTTAAATTTATGAGCACACTATTATGTATATTCACTCTACTGTGCAAYAGCACCAGAATGTCTTATACCTTTCCATTGCTTAGAGCCTGTTGATCAGCATTTCCCTCTCTCTCCACCATTACTCTATCCTTTGGTAATCACCATTCTCCTTTCAACTTCTGAGRCCAACTTCTCTATATTTCACATCTGAGTGAAGTCATGTGATACTGGTTTTTCTGTGCCTGGTTTATTTCATTTAATACAATGATCTCCAGTTTCATCCATGTTACTGCAAATGACAGGATCTCATCATTTTATTACTAGATAATATTCCATTGTGATTGTCTCTTAATCCATTCATCAGTTGATGGACACTAGGGTTGCTTTCATTTTTTGGCTATTGTGAATAGTGCTGGAATGAACAGGTAGTGCAGATGTCTCTTAATTATACCAATTTCAATGTCATCTCCTTTGCGTATGTGCTGAGGGATGGGGTTACTGGATCATGTGAAGCCTCTTTGCTGTTTTCCATGATGGCTGTTCTAATTTACCTTTCCACCCACAGCATGCAGGGGCACCCTTTTCTCCACATCCTTGCAGGCACTTGTTATCTCTTGTTTTCCTGGTACTGTCCATTCTTACTGGAATCCCATTGTTGCTTTGATTTGCATCACCCTGATGATTAATGATATTGAGCATTTTTCAAAAAATATTCCTCTTGACCATTTGTGTGTCTTCTTTTGAGAAATGTCTATTTTAGGTCCATTGCCCATTTTTAAATCCGATTTTTTTCCTTTTTTTTTTTTTTTTTTGTCTGTTGAGTTGCTTGAGCCCTTCTGGATAGTGAACCTTTGTCAGATATATGCTTTGCAAACATTTTCTCCTACTACTTAGGCTGTCTCTTCATTCTGCTATTGTAGTTTGATGCAATCCCATTTGGACATTTCTGCTTTTGATTCCTGTGCTTCTGGGGACATGTCCAAAAAGCCCTTTCTCATTCCAATCTAAATCAAATATGATAATTGACAGACATTTATTGCTGAAATATGGCCTTCCCGTTGATGAAAAATGCAAAGAAATCTAGATTTGGGTCTATCAACAAACCTTTTTAGGTCCATAAACTAGGGTTTTTTTTATTTTTAGCAAACTTATTTAAGCAATTATGCAGATTATTTCTAATGAATTCTACCAGTATTTGTTTTAGTTTTATTGGTCATTACTAAATATACATGATAATGTTACCTTTAATATTAAACTAGTTTGCTTGTTTTTTAAAAGAGAGGTATAATATGGTAACAACCTAACCTGATTAGGTAGCCTAAAGCATATAAAATGTTAAATGTGAATATATTTAAGTAGCTGCTTTCATGATTTTCTGTTTTAAATCCTTGCTTCATCGCCTCTGGGTAACAATCCATTCCTTTCAAGGTTCTGTCTACATAGCAATAGAATGAATAGAGGCCTTTTCCCATTAGCTTAAAAGTTTAAAATCATATTTTATATTTCATATAGTTGTGGGCAAAATCCATAAAATCTTTTACTCTGAAGGAGCATTACTTCTTATTAAAACCCCGGACTTTGAGCCGGGCACAGTGGTGCATGCCTATAATCCCAGCGGCTCCAGAGGCTGAGACAGTAGGATCATGAGTTCAAAGCCAGCCTCAGCAACAGCGAGGCACTAAGCAACTCAATGAGACCCTGTCTCTAAATAAAATACAAAATAGGGCTAGGTGTGGCTCAGTGGTCSAGTGCTCCTGAGTTCAATTCCTGGTATCAAAACCAAAACAAAACAAAACAAAAACCTTCCAGACTTTGGAGTTTGCTCCTTTGGTACCTACCTCAAATTCTGCAATACTTCAGAACATTCATACATTTTTTCTTTTTCTTTTTCTTTCTTTCTTTTTTGAGACTGAGGACCAGCTCTGCCCATCTTTGCTCTTATTTGGGATCTTAGGTTGGGTCTAGGAACCAAGTTAACATGAAAAAAGATTAACAGGAGAAAAGCAAACAATTTTTGTTAATTTTTAATATGTATCTCTGGACATTCACAAAATGGTGACAACCCAGGGAAATGGACAAAGCAGAAATATTTATATGTTTTGGACAGAGAGTGACAATGTTTTTGAAAGAAATGACAAGACAAAGGTGTGTGGGTGAGGGCTGGTGAATTCCAGCGGAGTCAGTATGAGGTACACGAAGGAGCCCAAACCAGTGGAGGACAGGTTGTTTCTGTAAGTGTGTTTGTACCCATCCATTGCAGCATCAATTCCCAGACACTGTGACAAGAGAACTTCTTATGTGGGTACAGGGAAGGCATCTCTCTTCCAGAAACTTTTATGGTTTCCTAAAGGTAAGACGAAGCAGTTCAGATAGCCCTTCCTGCAACTGCTCCTCTAGTACCTTCAGCTCAAAAATATTTATGCCCAGGAGGCTTGTTCTGGGGTACCATTCTGGTTTTTCCTAGTCCCCCATTTGAGGCTTCATTTTCAGAAGGTTTCCCATAGTAAGAGCCAACTTGGCAGCTCTTCAGAGATTTGGATGAGAGGTTCTTGTATCAAAGATCAGCAAAGTTGTTGTTATTGTTTATAGTTTGGAATAAGCAGAAAAGACCAAATTTGAGTACATCATCCCATATCTAACTGAATCAGTCTCTTAGTCCTAAAAAACAGACCAGTTTGATTAAATATGAAAGACTTGTGTTTCATTTTTAGGAGGTGGGGTTGAAGGTAGGATCTTTTTAACATTAGATCTCCATGTGGTACAAGCATACAAGGTCATGAATAAGAGGCATTTCTACAAAAACAGAACAAAAATAAAGGCTAATGATTAGAGTAGTCTATCAACTGGTTTCTGAGCTTGGAGGAAAGCCAGATGAGGATGTTTTTAGATATTGAGCTTGAATTGTCTTCGATAGAACAAGGCAGATAGTAGCAATATGACAATTTTTTTATTTGTTTAAAGTTTGAATGTCAACCAGTTTCTTCTTCAGGAAGACAAACAAAAAAAAAAAAAACATTTTTTTTTGTTTTGTTTTRTTTTGATCTTAGTGATTCCAAGTCTGAAAGGCAGGAGAAAATTGGAAATGTTAGTTTGGAGATTTGTAGCCAGATGCTGGAGGAAACTAAAACAATCAGGATTTAGTCCAATTTGCAGGCAAATAATAAAATCTTAAAAACAAAACAGAACAATGAGCTAGAATATAATAACATATGTACTATAGGGTTTTATTTTCTCCATATAATCATATTTATCATGTTTACCAAAGATAATTACAATGATTTGTTTGCAAAATAAGTTTAGTCTCGTTGAACTTGGTCTGATTATTTACTTAAGTGCAACAAGAATAGTGATTGACTCTGTTAAGTTTGATCTGTTGACACTTAAAATCTGATAAAAAATCTCAGATCAGGCACTTAAAAGTCTCTTGAATCTACAAAGCCAATCCAAGGACTCAGCCACATACTGTGACGGATGGATTCTTTTCTTCYCAAGTTCCCCCAAATAGCTAGAAGTGCCTGGGCTGGCTAGGAAGAGGTGGTTTTTGCTCATCACTCAGCTAGAAACACTGTAAAGGAACTGTGTAAGGAACCAGTGCAGTATTTCCAGGGTTTTTTTTTACTAGCTCCATAAAGTCAACCTCAGTCACTTAAAGCTGTCTGGTCATATTAGAAAATATGACATTCCAGTCAAAGCCTTGGTAATGTAACTAGAGTTTCCAAGTGTGCCCCACTACAGTGAAGAGATTCTTAGTGGACTTGTGCCAAGAACCATGTTGCCATGAGAATACAAAAATACATGAATAGCCTCTGAATCATGGAGAGATCAGGTAGGGAGCAAAAGTAAATCTTTCAATKGTTCATTTAAGTATATCTTACCAAATTACTGTAAGCTTTAGATAGCTTAAAATATTTTTTCTCTTTTTGAGGTTTTATTCTCTTTTATCAATTTGAAAAACAAAATATAAAAATAATCAGTAATGTTTTAAACAAAAAAAAAATCATTGAAAAATCATAATCCTTCATAAGTTTAGTCCCACGTGATTAATTGTTGTTCTGCTTAGTGTTGAAKTAGCCTACTGGTTTCATGAACCTATTAATTTCTTCATTAGAGTTTTTGGAATTTTTACCCATCCTAATGGTTCTTTAAGCTGTGTTCTTTGTCAAGAGTAATTTTCAGAATCTTTCATGAATTTTTTTGAAGAAAATAAATTTGAGATTGTAGCTGATTGCAAATGCCTTTAGAGAAGAACCATTCTAAAAAGTAACTGTCTGTGGACAGCCAAATACTTAAAATGATCCATGGTTTAAAAATCTGGTGATAGTTCATAGTAATAATTCRCATGTAAATCTGGTTATTTCTAAGTGTTGTGATATGTGACATTTTAACTTAATAACAACATTGTGATTGATAACATTACAGCAAAACATATCAGATTCTAGGCATTTCATACAGCTTCTGGGGCACATATCAATAATATATCCATACATATTTTAAAAAAATATTTTTAGTTGTAGATGGACATGATACCTTTATTTTATTTATTTATTTTTATGTGGTGCTGAGGATTGAACTCAGTGCCTCATAGGTGCTTGGAAATAGCTCTACCACTGAGCCACAACCCCAGACCCATATATATATATATATATATTTATATATATATATTTTTATACACACATATATAATATATATATGTATATGTATATATATATATATATCCATACATATCTAACTCAAAGAAGGGTAAACATCATTTCTTATATGCCAATGTTTCTCAGGTAATTTAATGTCAAATAAACCTAGTTGGCTTACTTACTATCTCTCTTTGGATATTGCAGAGGACTCTGGAACATCCCAAAGTTAGTTTCAGGTCAAAAAGACTTGATTTAGAATTTTATTTGGAGAAGTTTGCAAAAACTTTCAAAAGTCTGATAATACTTGAAAAAAAAAACAGGATCACAAGTCATTATGAAACAATAGCCATTCATTTAACCAAAATGATAACAAAATACTTAGAAGGCAAATACAAGAAGGTACATTATTATAGAAAAAAAAAACTTTACCTTTTTTCAGTTTTCTCAAGTAATCAAAGATCTACTAATGAAAATACAAAGCACAGGAAATTATTTTGATAAAATATAGAATCTTTCTCTTCTTCGTCCCTCAGATGAGTTTAAGAAATTTTTTTTACTATTATCTCATATTACTACCACAAGAAAGTTTTGGTTAAATTCTTAGTTTTGTATTGATGTATTTTTGATATTAAGGCTTGTTTCAAAAATCTTTAGGATAAATTCACTCAAGTTTAGTCAGTCTGGCCACACAAGATTCTCTCTCCCTCTTTTCTCAATTTTTTAGTCATTCAGTTCTATCTATAATATTCCTATAAGGAACACACATCTTCTTTTACATGTAAGCTTTGCATACAGATATTTCCTTTTTGTAGCTTTTATTAGTAGATAGAATTTTAATGCCTAGCAGTTATGAAACAACTGCTGTAGACTGCCACTATCTTATAATTTCTAGATATTGTGCTTCCTCCAAGTGCAATTTTTAAGCTTAACAGAACCAAATATCTTTAATTTCTTTGTAATAATAAGCCAAAAGTAGATAAAATTAAACCACATAATCAGTAACTAATGTTTTAATATTTCATCTTTGTCAAAAATAATCTAAATATTTAATGAATATCCATATTTAATTTAACTAACAAAACTTTAAGGGTATGGTCACTCAATATATTGTTTAAAAGATCATTTTTAAACTTTTATCCTACTGATATTTAATTTAATTTAATTTTATTCAATAATTAGCTCCTGKAAATTAAGTGAGGCATTAGATAAAGTGAGTTATACCCTCAAGCTATTTTTCATCAACCATTTTTATCACAAGGACATATCCAGCGAGTATCACAAAATTGAGAGCCCTGAAATTAAATACATGGGTACTTTGCTAACACCTCAGAAGTCACTCTGTTTTCAAACAATATTAAACTAGCTTTATTTATCCAAGATTACTAAAGTCACATGAGCTTGAAAAAATATTTGGGTAAATTCCTATATCTGGCAGTTTTAGCTATATTTAATTTATGAGCATTCATTTATCTGTAAACCAATTTGAATATAATTTCTTTGGAGGATTTMATATCATGTAAACAATCATAAACATGCATAAACATAAATCTACAGGCAAAATGAAGACATCATAACTTTCATTTAACATTTYTAGCCATGCGACAGGTATAATAATATAAACCTCACTGTTTTGTGAAAAGGAATGTTGGATCCAAACSATGTTTTTAATTTTTTCTTTCCTTTATGTTAATTTTTTTTTCTTTTTGAAAATGGGACAAGTTAAGCTTACCTGCTGACATGGCTAAGGCTTTTACTAATATTAATGAAAATACAAGATCTTTCATTTGCCTGTTATTCAAATAGTCAAAATTCAGGCCAACAGGAAAAGAAGCAAGTAGAGGAGGCAGAACATAGAGTTAGCAGCAACTGGAGAAGAGGAGTTTCAGTCCCCTGAAAAGTTTCCATGAGAGAAGCAGGATTTAATAAAGAAAATTACAGCCAGAATATCAACTTTCAATAGACTTCAGACTATGGAGCTCTTTTGAAAATATCCCTTTCTTCTCTATATTTGCCTATTAGAAGTCCAAGGGAACTACTATTTAAATTTTGCCCTCTTTTAATGCAGGACAGCCCCATTTCCAAAGTCCTGACTTTTCACAATATCAGCAAGCATCCTGAGATGAACAGATGAGGTTTGAGCAATGGTAAAACTAGAATCACTTTTTCTAGAGATACATTCCTACTTTTTTGAAGACTTATTAATTTACAAGATAAGGTCAATTGTTTTTAATTCCTCAAAAATTTGTGTTACAGTCTGARGGACATCAGGGATTGTTTATTCACCTAATTGCATTATCTTCAGTCTGTTCCCTTCTATCCATAGCAAATTTCCAACTAAGGTAGAAAGCAAAAGATTTCTTGTTCCAAATTTAGAGTTGTTTATCTTTAGAATGTTTTAGTAAGACAGCATCTTTCTTTCTGAGTATATTTTGGCTCAGGAGAGAAAGTTTAAACTTTTAAAAAATTCCTATCACACTCTGAATATAAATCAAAATCTTAAATCAATGGTATATTTCACAAGTAACTCAAGGTGAAAACTAATAAGTACTTTGTGGCTATAATTAGGATCTCTAGAAGAAGAACAAAAAGATGCAGTCCTTCTAAGATACAGGGATTMCCAAAAGACAAGCAAAAGGACTAGAAAATGTAAACACAATTAGTATACTTAGCTGCAAATGGGATGCAACTCACATTTCTTTTTGGCCATATTCCAAACTAAGGCTGTCTTACTTGTGTTTCCCCTATATACAGAAAGGCAAATCAAAGTAAGAAAAACAGGCTGTCCATAGGAGGAAAGTAATCATTAACAAATCAATAGCCATACCAATATAAATTTAAAGCAATCAATTTCTTAGAAAAATTTCTCTCCTAAGCTAAAAGAATTCATGGAGGAAAGGAATTTATGGTGGATTTAAAATTCTTTAACTTTGCTTTAAACTGATTTCTCCTTTTTAATCTTGCTAAGGGAATCCCTAAGGCTGTCCATTGTACTCCTTTGTTTCCATTTTTAATTTGATTTTCCTACAGGTGTACGTATTTCTTTTTAAATATAGCCAGCTTATTAAAAAAGCAACTAAAATCAATAAGATTCTTATTCTACGTCCTCCCTCCCTCCACAAAAACAACCTCTATAAAATAGTGTGTTCTCACATGTGTTCTTCTGCCAATCTGAATTTTGAAAGCAAGGAACAAATAAAAATTTAGTATCCTTTCTTGGCCAGGCACTACCTACAGATGTCAGGGAGAGCTGACTCAGTAAGAATTCTTATCTTTTTCTGATACCTTTTGCTAACCCCCCAGGATCCCATCTAYAGACGCTGGAATGAGTGAAGAACCTCCTGGCTGGCTCACCAAAAATTATAGAAGTTGTCGATCATCTCTACCCTTCTTAGCTATCATTTGGAATTTTTGAATTTTGTCTAGGCCTAGGAGCAAAATTAACAAAAGAATGGTTAACAGGAGAAAAGAATACAATAATACAATGTTTGTTAACTTTTACATATCCTTGGTGAGACAAGAGAGTGAAGACTGAAAGAAATGGGCAAAACAGAAACTCTTTATACCTTAGACACGCAGAAAAAGATAAATTTTGAGAAAAAAAATGACACATAAGAGAGTATGGGCTAGGGATAGTAAGATCCAGAGGAGTCACTAAGAGGTAGGTAAAGCAGTGCCAAACTAGTAGAGATTATGGTTTATTTTCATAAGTTTATTTACACACTTCTATTGTAGCACCAATTCTCACTTACTGGTGACAAGGGTCATCTTGTGTTGGTACAGGAAAAGCATCTTTTTATAGGGACTTTTATGACTTGCTACAGGTAAGACAAGACAGTTTGTGTAGTCCTTTCTGCAACTGTTGATTCTCAGATGCCTTTAGCTTAAAAATCTTTATGTCAAAGAGACATATTTTGGGATGACATAGTCTGGTTTCCTCCACTTTCCAACAGTCTCAGTTTGGATACTCCCTTTCCAATGTCCACGTTATTGGCCATAGTCTGGGTTCCCACGCTGCTGGGGAGGCTGGAAAGAGGACCAATGGAGCAATTGCACGAATCACAGGTTGGTCATAAAAGCAAAAGCTTCTAAATGAGATTATGTAGTCTATTGGGATTTAAAAGGAAATACAGGAGGGAAATCTGGTGCAGCTTGCTTTTTACCTTGTCATACTTTCTGAATTGGCCCACATGATCAGAAATTAGGCCTTGCAATTTGTTATCAACTCTTGGTCTATAGTACCCTTTTTAAAATGTAATTACATTTCATATGCCTAAAATGAGTATTGAGAACATCTAGAAACCTTATTCACCTGTGTTTACCCAAGACAAGTCTCTTGAATTATATAGATACCATAAAATATTAAACAATATGGAAATAAGAGCCACAGAATTCAAATGTATAAAATTAATTATATTCCATTTAAATAGCAATGGTTAATAAACCCAAATCTCATCAACTACAGAGCTGGGGGAACTGGAACACGGGGTCAAGCTGTCCTGAGCTTCCAGTTCTGGTGCTGCTAACATATTTCAAATACTATTTTGCAAACTCCAGACTGGCTGCACCTAGCCAGTGGGTCTCATGTTGGATACCCAAGTCCTAAAACAACCAGGATATGATTATTCTGAAATTCCCTGAGGAAAGGCCACTTTCCTCTTAATCTCCCAACTTCTGTGTTGACCTGCTGATTCTCTTTTTAATACTGTGGATAAGTTGGTTACATTTGGGTTGATGAGGGTGTTTGGAATTTCTATCTGTTAATTTTCTGAAAAGAGGATCTTCCAGAATAGTCTTTCCCATCATTTGTAAATGCTTACCACAACCTACTCAGCCAGGCACTGTGCCATGGCAGATTATGGGTCCCATGACCACAAAAATGACCCTTGCCCTATGGGAGAAACAATCTAGTGGAGACTCAGCCTGAACAGCTTTTAGTTCCGTGTCTCCCAGGTCTGCCTCTTTTATGGTAACTGTGCTAGTGACCAAGATTCTCCCAGGGACTAAGCACCCATAAGTAGTGGCAATGTCTATAGTTTGGGGAAATTCTCTTTAACATAAATAGCAAACTAGAAGCAAGATTCCCTTCTAAAAATACTAAGGCAAGAAAGAACTTGTTTATTATACTGTTGTATTATATGCATGTATGAATATGTAACAGCAAATTCCATCATTATGTACAACTATAATGCACCAATAAAAATGTAGGGAAAAACAAACAAAATAAAAACAAAGAATTTATTTATCTCTTTCCATGCATGACTCATGGTCTGTAACTAGTGAAGAAAAGTGAATAACACACATGAATAATGTCATAATTAATAACATATTTTATTTGCTTTAGGGCTGGATCCAGCAGAACCTTATTTTCAGGATACACCYGAAGTAGTTCGATTGGACCCCAGTGATGCCCAATTTGTAGATGTAATTCACACAGATTCTGCTCCCATGGTTCCCAACTTGGGTGAGTGCCACTTGTTCTTCTAGAAGGTTTTAAGTCTACACAYTAGAGCATTTTATAGTTTCTATACAGTAAACTAAATATTCCCTAATTTTAAAATTCTTCAGGATTAGGAATGAGCCAAACCGTGGGTCACCTCGATTTCTTTCCAAATGGAGGAAAAGAAATGCCCGGATGTCAGAAGAATGTTATCTCTCAGATTGTTGAYATAGATGGGATCTGGGAAGGTAAACCATTAAGTGTACAGGGGGGTTTTCATTGGGGAAAGTTTACATTTTGTCTTGCTTTGGAATTGTACGGGTCGTACATTTTATATGACAAAGGGTTTTGAACTGCATCCCCAAGGTACAGGCTCACATTTGGACACATGGGCATGAGGAGACTGTGGGAAAGAAAGTACATTTGCAGTCAAATTTGTAAGGATCTAATTCAGGGAATACATTACTGAGAGGACCAATCTTTTTCTTCTCAAGCAATTTTTCCATTTCATTTAACAATGGGGCACTAACTATTATAACCTTAAACAGTATTTAATTTCCGAATGCTTTACAAATCATAAATACACTTCATAAATGATTTTGTGTGATGACCTCCATGAGTTCACACYAATTAGAGAAACCTATTCAACAATTATGTTCTACTCAGGACATTTACGTGGAAAAATAAAATCTGTCACTGATGTGTAATCATGTCTGATTTCACAGGAAGTCGTGACTTTGTGGCCTGTAATCACTTAAGAAGCTACAAGTACTATGCTGATAGTATTGTCAACCCTACTGGCTTTGCTGGATTTTCTTGTGCCTCTTACAGTGATTTCAATGCAGTAAGTACTCACATTTCTATTAAAGAAATTTGTGACTGTCCTTCTCATGACTGACATAGTTCACCGTACATGACAGCATTCAATGAATGTTTATACTCTAATCCTTAATTCCTTTAATCATAGAAATTTATTTTAATCACAGTAACCCTGTTGCCTATCACTTCCCTATGTATCTGAAATATGCTCCAATTTGTTATGAAAGTAATCCTAAACAACTATAGCAACAACAAAAATCTAGGCTATGGACAACTGAGTTGTGTTTATAGGAAACTGTTGAACTATACATTCTCCTTATGTGGAAATTTTGCTTAAATGCTGACCTTTTAAATTATAGTTATTAGCATATGACTATTTCTGTGCATTCTCATAATATTCATTATTTCTTTGAGTTTTCAACATGTTTGGGATTCTCTTGATCTCTAACTTGGATTCTCATGTGTGTTCTTGAAAATGACATATCTATTGTGCATTTTTTTCATAAACTTGGATTTTCTTCTCACTACAATTTTTTTCCAAAATAGTATTTCTAACATATGCCATTCAATAAAGAAAATTTCAAGTGGCATCCTCATTACCAAGGAGACAAACCTAGCAATTAAGAGAGGACCAAAACCCAGGTTTCACCAGTAATAACTGAATGATTCTACACAAAATACTTCACTTCTTTAAAGCAGTTTCTTCATCTATAAATGTAAATAATAATGATAGACTCAACATATTTGGTAGGAGGAGTTAACACTCTAATGTATGCTAATTACTTAACCCAGAGCTAAAAAACATAATAATTGTCATTCTGAAATGGGAAGCATATGATGAGAAAGGGATCACATGTTTTGTTAATAATAATATGGACACAGTTTGACAAGGAACTCCCTGTCTTCTTTCTTTGTTTTAACTTCTTATTTCTGTCCCTCTCAATGCCCAAATATGGATAATAAAGAAAACAAAGAAGCAAACCAAAAACCTTTAGGACTCATTCAGTTAAAACAAAGTCATTTTCGAGACTATCAACAATCCTTTTAGGTAATACTCAGCACTTTAGTAAAAATAAGTTCTCAGTCTTGTAGATCTCTCTGCCTTTGGACTCCCTTCCTAAAATTCTCTCCGAGAGGCAGTGGGCAGCTAGCTAATCCTGGAAAGATAGTGCACTATTAAAAGAAAAAGCATTTTCATTCATCATTTGTTTTTACTAGAACAAGTGCTTCCCCTGTCCAAGTGGAGGATGTCCACAGATGGGTCACTTTGCTGATAGATTTGCTGGGAAAACAAGTGGAGTGGGCCGGAAATTTTATCTGAACACTGGGGATGCCAGTAATTTTGCACGTAAGTTTCCATTTTATTTACCTTAAATCCTAAGTATATGTATTTTATCATTTCCGTTGGTAACGTGTGAAATTGATGTTCTACACAGTGTGGGAAAATGCACAGTGCTGTGCTCCAGGTAATGATGGCTCATTTGGGTAGCAGAACACAGTGTGGGACTTCAATGGGACAAGATTGAATTTCTTCACAGTTGATTCTGGCTGAATTCAGAAGGCTTCCTATGTTCCAATCACTTTGAATTCAGTCAAAAATTCATTCAGCAGAATTATGAGGTTTTGTACAGACAAAAAAGTAATTCCAGAGAAAAATTGACAGTTTGACAGATTCAAGAGATATTTAGGATCGAGAACGTCATGGGGGGATGGGAAGTGGAGGGTGCAGGAATAATGATACTTGAGGTCAGACTCCTGGGTTTCTTTCTGGGTAAAGAGGAAGAAAAATACTTAAATTGAAATGAGTGGAGTTAGGAATATTGTAAAATCAAGACAAATGTTTTCCCATCTCCCATATTAGCACTAAAGAGCAAAACCTTTTAGTTTACTGTTGATCATACCAAGGCAATCTTTTGGCTGCCTAAATTGGTTCATTTCCAAGGTCAATGAAAAACTGAAATATAGAATTTTAAAAATAGATATAGAGTGTTTAGACAAAAGCATGACAATACTCTAAAATTTGGTGATGGATGAAAATAAAATTAATGAAAATGTTACATTCTGTTATTTTTCCATGATCTTTTAACTTTAAGTTCTTAGAATATTTAAGAGCAAGTTATTATGTTAATAAGTTGAAAGTAAAATATACTACTTGGTTCTTTGGCTTAAAAGAATTTAACCTTGTTGGTTTTGGCCACTACTCCCCTGCCCCACTCCTCAATACCTGTCCTCTGAGCACTTACATAAAGGAATGTGTATAACTATTACATAAAATTACCAATGCCATATATAAATTACTCCAAATTCTGTGGTAGTGGGGTCCTTATTAACCTATTTTAACTGAGTCTTCTCTATAAGTTGACATTTTGCCAAATTTCTCTCCCATCAAGGTTGGCGGTACCAGGTAGCTGTCACACTTTCTGGAAAGAAAGTTACAGGACATGTCTTAGTTTCCTTGTATGGAAGTGGAGGAAACTCTAAGCAGTACGAAGTTTACAAGTGAGTAAAATATCACTTTAAGCTTCTTAAGTGTTGAAATACTGTGTCTGTATAATGTATGCTATTGACAGAAGAGTTTGTTAATTCTTTACTCTGTGGGAGTAGAGTGCTGTCACATATAATAAAAAGAAATATATTCTTTCACATTGGTACCTTAATACATTTCAGAATTATGTTTCTAAATTTTTTCTCTATTTCCTGAGAAAATCATTAATGTTTGCTTTGATGTCAGATATCTGAATTGTCAACAGTAAATAATTATTCTCCCTGCAAAAATGTGAGAATGGTAATATAATGATTTCACCATAATTGTGAGAAGACAGTAACTAAAACATGTTTGTAGTTTTTAAAAAAATTATTTATTTATTTGTTCTAATTAGTTATATATGACAGCAGAATGCATTTCAATTCATAGTACACAAATGGAGAACAATTTTTCATTTCTCTATTTGTACATGAAGTAGAGTCATACTCTTCATGTCTTCATACATGTACCTAAGGTAATAATGTCTGTCTCATTCCACCATCTTTCCTACCCCCATGCCCCTTCCCATCCCCTCCCTCCCCTTTGCCCTATCCATAATTTCTCCATTCCTCCCATGCCCCCCCAACCGCCACCCAGTTATGAATCAGCATCCACTTATCAGTGAAAACATTCAGCCTTTGGATTTTTGGAATTGGCTTACTTCACTTAGCATGATATTCTCCAGCTCCATCCATTTACCTGAAAATGCCATGATTTTATTCTCTTTTAATGCTCAGTAATAGTCCATTGTGTATACATACCACAGTTTCTTTATACATTTATCTATTGAAGGGCATCTGTCACATTAGTATTGTAAATTGTGCTGCTATAAACATTGTTGTGGATGCATCACTACACTATGCTGATTTTAAGTCCTTGGGCATAGGTTGAGGAGTGGGATAGCTGGGTCAAAGGGTGGTTCCATTCCCAGTTTTCCAAGGAATCTCCACATTGCTTTCCATATTGGCTGCACCAATTTGCAGTCCCACTAGCAATGTAAGAATGTGTCTTTCTCCCCACATCCTCACCAACACTTATTGTTGATTGTATTCTTGTATTCCATTCTGACTGGAGTGAGAGGAAATCTTAAGAGTAGTTTGATTTGCATTTCTCTAATTACTAGAGATGTTGAACTTTTTTTCATGTATTTGTTGATTTATTATATATCTTCTTCTGAGAAATGTCTGTTCAGTTCCTTAGTCCATTTATTGACTGGGTTATTTGTTTTTTTGGTGTTAAGTTTTTTTAGTTCTTTATATATCCTGGAGATTAGTGCTCTATCTGATGTGCTTGTGGTAAAAATTTGCTCCCAAAATGTAGGCTCTCTCTTCATCTCATTGATTATTTCTTTTGCTGAGAAGAAGCTTTGTAGTTTGAATCCATCCCATTTATTGATTCTTGATTTTAATTCTTGAACTGTAGGAGTCTTGTTAAGGAAGTTGGGGCCTAATCTGACATGATGAAGATTAAGGATTACTTTTTCTTCTATTAGGCACAGGGTCTCTGTTCTAATTCCTACATCCTTGATCTACTTTGAGTTGAGTTTTGTGCATGGTGAGAGATAAGGGCTTAATTTCATCTTCTGCATATAAATTTCCAGTTTTCCCAGTACCATTTGTTGAAAAGGCTATCATTTCTCCAACATGTGTTTTTGGTGCCTTTGTCTAGTATGAGATAACTGTATTATGTATGCAGTTTTAATAATAAACCTAAAAGTAATACGAGTCAAAATGTACCACTGGGTTAATGTGTATGTGTAGATTTATTTAATGCATTAGGATGATAAGTATTCTATTAATCATCTTGGCTTGCATTGTACACTGGCTCTAGAAATATATATGTGTATTTATGTATTTACATGTATGTTTTTATGTGTATGTTTTGGTGTGTTTCAGTATATTTTTGTTCTTTTCTTAACTCCCCAGGGGCAGCCTCCAACCAGGAAAGACTCATACTAGTGAGTTTGATTCCGATGTGGATGTTGGAGATGTGCAGAAGGTTAAATTTATTTGGTATAACAATGTGATCAACCCAACACTACCCAAAGTAGGAGCATCTAGCATCAGAGTGGAAAGAAACGATGGAAGAGTGTAAGTAATAAAAATCCAAAGGGCTGAGAAGGATTGAGTATTATTGTTCACAATTCTATCCCCACTAAAATTCTCCTTTAAGTTWAACTTCCTACAGTGGTTCACCTGTACTCCAGCCACACCTGCTTTCTAATACCTTCTGTGTCTTAAGGAGAAAGTACAGTACTTAAGGAAAATCAACTTTGATAGATTTGTAGTCAGAGTTGTTATATGATACAAATTAAGTATTAGAGTGAGAATCTGGCTTTCCTATGGTGAAAAAAATATGTTGGGCAAATGAACCTTTTGCTGCATTTGTGTGTCTCCCCCAAACTTCATAGGTTCAGCAAACTGTCATTTAAATTGTTAGGAACTCATTAAACTTATCAGGGAACAGAGGTATGTGCTCCATATCACTGGTCCTCTAGGTGAAGACRGACATCCAGGGGATGAGTCCTTCACCCTGACCATGACTGGACTGTGTGTGAGACAGAGGGTGTTTACCAAGGGAACTCCCAGGAAGGGTGAACTGATGATGGTCACAGTAGTACCAATTTAAGCTCAAGAGGATGTGAGTTTCAGCCAAACTCTGGTGCTTCTGTCGTCAGGCCRTCTGTCCTCATAAAAACCCAATGAAGGGACTTCTGCTTCTGGCAAAGGTGGAGTAAAGRCCCCACGTTCACCTTCACAGATGAAGCAACCAAGAATTCAGGCAAAAGATATAACAACAGTTGAGATACTGAATTTTAATCAATAAGAGGGAGCGATGCCTGATAGAAAAAACAAATAAACAACAAAGATGAAACCTTAAAATGGGTTAAAACTGCCCCTGTCTGGAATTTCCAGGATGTGAAATAGGCAGGAGTAGTACAGGCAAAGTCCAGTGGACCCTCTAAGTCAAAAAGACAGTGGTAAGAATCAGTGAATCTCAGGCAACCGGACATTAYGGCACAGCCTACCAGACAGTAGAGAACTTGAGAGAGAAAAATCCTTGAGTATTCAGTACTGTACTGGTCAGCTCATGTGTATTGGCAAAGTTGCCATGGCCAGGGAAATAGTCATTTGAAAGGATTAGAGAGAACAGAGCCAGTGACCTTCAGGGTTAATAGTGCTTGTTCCCATCCAGCCTGCAAAAAGTTATAATGCAAGAGTCATGGGTAGAACATGGCGGGCAGTCTTCTTTCCTATGGAAAATGGTTAGTCTAGATTCAGCAGCACTTGACATGATCAAACTGTTTCCAGATAACTGCATCCCAGAACAAAAGATTTATAGAGATACATAATTATCCAGCACTAGCAAGATAAAATTCACACTGTATGAAATTAACTCAAAGATTCCAGTTAAAGAAGCAGAACAAGAYACCTATAATGAGGAAAGTGATCAATGAATTGGCACCAAGCCAGCATTGACACAGTTAGAATGTTAGACTCAGCAGGCAAAAGTAAAGCAGTTAGTAAACATCTATTCCATTTTATTCAAAAAATCAAGGGAAAGAAACATCGCATATATAGAAAAAGATCCAAATTGAACTTCTAGGGATGACAAATAATATTTCACTGGAAAAATACTCTGAAGACAATTAACAAGAGTTAGACATTGAAGAAGTAAATATTAGTAAAGTTGAAAATATAAGAGAAAGCATCAAAAACCAAACACGGAAAGAAAATATATGCAGAGAACATCAGTGACCTGTGGGAAATTTCAATGACACTAATGTATTTATCTTTGAGGACCACAAAGGAGAAGGGACAGGAAAAAATACACTTTAAGTGATAAAGGCTCCATAATTATCAAACTTGTGAAAACTATAAACCAATGAATCAAAAAATGAAGGAAACACCACCATTAGCCACTAGGTAGCTCTTTGAGTTATCAAACTGACTGTTGATATATTACTGTGCTTGGTTTTAAGTTCTTCTTATTTTACTTAATACCCCCAAACACAAGACTAGCCATCACACCACAGGGAGGGAAATTACAATAAAGAGAAAAAATTTTTCTGAACCCTTTTTACTTTGCACATGCTAATGTATTTTATTAGAGAAAATTAGCTCCAAACATCTTAAGCATTGTTTAGTCTAATGAGAAAAATGGATCATTTCAGTTCAATTGTTGAATTAAAATAAGAACGGCTAGCCAGCTCGAGGACCTTCAGAGTTTCAGGCAGGGCTGATTTCTTGTACTGTTGGCTCTGCTCTTGCTTAGTTGCCTTGGTTGTTAAGTGCCACCTGTTCAGCAGCTGCTTGACAGGACAAAGGAGCTCTTCCTGTTCTTTGGAATATTCCCTGACAGCTCCTTTCTCTGCTGCTTGCACAACGGCATAACAAAATCAGAAAGGAGAATTCAGACCTTCAAGAAAAGTCTTCCCTCCATGTCYACCCTCGGGCACAGGGTGTGCCCCCCACCCAGACGCAGGGGGAGAGCAGTGGCTGTCCTCATGCTCAGCACTCCAGCTGGTGCCAGGGAGACCTGACTTATTGTTGTTTTCTCTCCACAGGTTCAACTTCTGCAGTTCCGACACTGTGAGGGAGGATGTTCTGCTCACCCTCACCCCATGTTAGGAGGAGGTTGACATATGTCATTGAACCTTACTGCTAATAAAATCTAGTGGTGAAGCAATACATTCTTTTGTCGTCAATATCCATGATTCCCAGTGAAACTTTTGAATATGGTGATTAAAATCCAAAATCTGCAGTTTGTGGAAAGAACCACAAACGATTATTGAACTTCGCTGCATATTGAGTGACATTTGAACTGGATACACTGCTTACGTGATACTGTCACCTTATCCATTATTAACATTGCTGATGTTACTTAGATCACTGAAGGTAGATTTCCAGTCCCAAAGTGACCCTTCTTGGTAGGCCCATGTAGAAAGTAACACCTTTGCCTCTTTGTCCATTATCTTTAAGTTCTGTGTGTCCTCCTCATCAGACATGCCAGGACTGATGACATGAGGAGATGAGGATGGGACACATCTGAGGCTTCCTGTCGGGTCTCCCTGCTCCCTGTGGGTCTCCCCAGACCCTTCCCTCTCTGCAGTCCATATGATCTTCCTAAAAGGAGACAAGTTAATGACATCTGAAGAGAAACACAGGGAGCTGTTATGGTTTGGATAGGAAGTGTTCACCCAAAGCTCCTATGTTCGTGCAGTAATAGTCAGAAGTGAAATTATAAGATGATGATAATTATATTGGTTCCTAGCAGTTGGAATGGACTAACTGGGCAGTAACTATAGGCAGGTGGGGTGTGGCTGGAAGAGCAGTGTCACTGGGGGCACATCCTGGAAAGGTGTGTTTTCTCTACTGCCCCTCTCCTTCACTCTCTGCTTCCTGGGGGCCATGAGCAGAGCAGCTGTCCTCTGCCCACCCTTCCATCATGAGGTTCTGCCTCACCTTAGGCCCAGAGCAATGGAGTCTGCTGACTATGGACTGAACCTCTGAAACCATGAACCAAATTAATGTTTCCTTCTCTAAGTTGTTCTTTTTAGGCATTTTGGTCACAGTCTCAGAAACTTAGCTAACAAAATAGCCCATTTTATCTTTCTAAAGCACAAATCAAACATCCTCTGGTGATCTGCAGGACAGAATCCACATTCCCTAGGGAGTCTTGCAAGCTCATTCTAAGTCTGCCTTTAACCTTAGACCTCAGATTCATCTCCTAGAACATTCCTTCTGGAACTTCATATTCCAGCCCTGTCCCCCAAGAGGCTCTTGATCTCAGATACTAATGGACACTTGCACACTTTCTCTTCCTAGAATGTTCTTTTTCTGTTTTTCCATCTGTATCTGTTTAATTCCTATTTTTTCAGGAGGGGATATTTGTTTCGCAGTACTTGGGATTGGATTGAGGGGTGCTCTATCACTGAGTTAAGTTGTGCAGCCTGTCCTCAAACTTGTAATCCTCCTGCCTCAGTCTTCCAAGTAGCTAGGATTACGAGACTATGCCATGGTGTCCAACTATTGGCTCTTAAAGAGTCATGTTGATTTCATTCATCCAGGAAGGCTTTCCTCACCTCTATTATTTTATTCACATTGCCCAAGATTGAATTAGAGTTACAGTATCCCTCTTTGCACTCCCACTAACCCCAGAGTTTCCTCCCTCTAAACTTACCTGTCCATATGGAACTTATAGGTCCATTTTTCTGTAGATACCATTTGTAAACCACATGATATGTGCCTGGTATATGTCTGGCAATATTTAAAAATGAATATTTTTAAAAATTCACTTTACCAACAAAATGAAGCAATAAGTCTATCAAAGTCCAGCACTTAAAATTAGGCAATATCTAAACAAAAATAATAACAAGAAGCAATAACTTCTTCAAAGTCTAGCATTTAAAATTGGGCAATATCTAAACAAAATACCCTACACGGGGAAGGGATATCTATGCTAGGTCTTACAAGATGGGTAGGGAGATGCCAAGAGGACATGGTGGCAAAGGCACTCCAAAGAGTAGAAACAAGATAGACAAAGACCCATGGGTATGAAAATATGAGAAACTGATAATGCCTTTCTTTCCATATTTCACTAAAATACATTCAGGTTGAGCATGAAGATTTGTTCTTAGGCCATCAATATGTGTCAAGCAGGATGCTTTCTCTCTCATGAACCAAAAGCACCAACCCACACTAACTTCTATGAAGAAATGTATTGGCTCATGCAGCCAGAAAGTCCAGAGGTCAGAATGGATTTGTTGTTGCAGCAGCTCAATGACTTTTTCTCTTTCCATGCTCTTCTGTGTCTGGTGATACTTTTCTATCAAGGATGGTTCCCCTCCCACTTGAAGGGAGCTGCAGATCTCCTCTTTCACACTCAGTATAAGAGAGAGTGGGCATCTACCTGCCTTCCTATCTTCCTCAACATTCCCTTTCTGAGATCCCCTCTGATTGGCCAGTGGTAAGGAAAGTGCTGGTTGCCTTAACTCAATCAGGGCCCACGCCTGGCCATGGGAGGAGGTCAGCATGCCCAGTGTGCATGGAGCAGGTGGAGAAGCAATGGATACTTACGTGAGAACAAGAAGTTGTCTTCCTGGTTCTCCTCTTGGTGGAAGAATGGAGCTGCTGTTGGCTGAAAGGGGTAATGTTTGGGGAGGAACAGGTTTGGGAGGGASGTCAGAATGTCAGTTTTAGTCACATCATACTTAAGGTATTCACCAGACTTCCAATTGGCCATGCCTAGTGGGCAGATTTATACACATGCTCAGTGTTAAGAATATAGGATTAGTTAAATAGGTAAACTTTGGCATCTTCAGTGTACAAATAACATCTTTAAAAGCCCCATATTCATCTGCAAAGAGATTGGCACAATGCTCTCCACATGTGAGTACCTAATAAATGTTTACTAGTAGCCATGAGTACCTCATGTAAATATTCTGCAGCATTAATAATAATGATGATCAATAAAATCAATGAATAAAAGTATTACTTGCAAATTTATTCAAGTGATGAAGTAAAGTTATTTAAAATAATCCAATATAAAATACATTTACTATGAAGAATTTTCATTTTATGAAAGTTGTTGGAATCAAAACAGAGTCACTTTTATTCAGCTATAACCATAGATGAAGCCAGCAGGCTGTAATAACGGAGTCTCGTGCGTGCATGCTGATAACTAGAACTGTTCACAAGAGGCTCTGCCACAATCACAACTATGCTACCTCACATGTGAGGACATCTGCCCACCACCTGTCTGCTTTGTCTGGGACATATGCCACTCTTGCAGCCAATGATTATTGTTTCAAAATATCTCCTCATTTTGCCTTTAAGAACTTCCCCCAGGTTCATCCTCCTGGATAACACATAACTTTATAGCTTGTGTCTTCCTCTTTCAAAGCTCTGTATTTCCCAAGTAAATATAATTTTCTTTGAAGCGTCTCTCTTTGATTATAATTTTTGGACAATTTTCATCATAATGAATTTTTTTGAAAGTCATTTTTTTCAAATGAATAATTTTTTGTCTTTTTCCATTTATTTATTTATTTTACAAATACATGGCAGATAATATATTTTGAAATATTATACATACATGGAGTATAACTTATTCTAATKAGGATCCCATTCTTATGGTTGAACATGATAGGGAGTTACACTGGCTGTGTATTCATACATGAACATCAGAGGAAAGTAATGTCTGTCCGATTCATTCTATTGCCTTTCCTATTTATATCCCTCCTCCCTTCCCTTCATTCTCCTCACTCAGTTTTATTTTCATTTCTTCTTCATGGAATATTTGAGTATGTTTTGTAGTATAATATTACCTTTCTGGTTGTGAATTCTTTTGTTTATCATGAAAGTTTTTTTTATTTTGTCAATTCTGAAGCTTAATTTTGCTGGGTGTGGTATTCTTGATTAGCATCCATTTTCTTTTAGAGCTTGGCATATATTATTCCAAGATTTCCTAGCTTTGAGGGTCTGGGTTGAGAAATCAACTGTAATCTGGATTGGTTTCCCGCTAAATGTGACCTGTCATTTTTCTTTGGCAATATATCGATGGACACTGTCTATTCTGTATGTAAGATATTTTCATAATAATGTGCCTTGTTGGGGGTCTGTTATAATTTTGTATATCTGGGGTACTGTAAGCCTCCTGTATCTGATTTTCCATTTCATTCTTAAAATTTGAGAAATTTTATAATATTATTTCATTGTGCATTCCTTTGTTTTGTATCTCTTAGCCTTCATCTTTCCTGCTAAATCTTCAATTGTTCTTTTCATGTTACCCCATATTTCTTGGAAGTTCTGTTCGTAGTCTTTTAAAATCTTTTATTCATGGCCAGCTTTATTTTCAAGATTATATATTTTGTCTTCATTGCCTGAAACTCTGTCTTCCAAGTACTCTGGTCTACTGGTGATATTTTTCCATTGAATTTTTAATTAGGTTTATTGATTCTTTCATTTCAAGGTTTTATGTTTGATTTTCTTTTCAGAATATCTATCTCTTTATTGAAATGATCTTACATTTTCTTTGTTTTCTCTCTGATTTCACTCCTTACATCATCCTTTACCTCACAGATCAGTTTAACTATGAACATTGTAAACTCCTTCTCAAACATTTCTTTCACTGTGGTGTTGGAGGATACTGTTATTGAAGTACCTTAGTTCTGGGTGGGTGATATGTTCCCTTGCTTTTTCATGTTGTTTGTGTGGATCTGAGGCAGTAGAGTTTCTACCCTGTGTAAGTATAGTGTCCCTTAAGGTTTCCAGAACCTCACCATTTAGGAGGAGACAAAGAATAACAGCAACCAATGCAAACAATATACAGCATTAAACCAAATAGTTCCTGCTATGACATCTACAATATTAGTTGTCACAATAAACAGAAATGATGTGATTAGTTATCATCCACAGTCATAATAGTAAGTTTGCAAAAGGGTTTGTAGTTTTGAATGGTGAGCAGGGAGAGAACAGAAGTATTGTAGAGTGTGATGATTATGGAGGAAGGGGAGAAAAAATAGCAGTAAAAAATTAAAGGAAGAGTGAAAGAGAGAATAATAGGGATTGGCCATTAACAGAAGAAAAGAGAAAAAGGGAAACAGATAAGTGAGAGAAAAAATATAGAAAGTAAAAAATTTTAAAGTTAAAAATAAAAATAAAAAATTCAAAGCAAAACCAAAATATAGTTGGTTCCATGTTCCAAGTTGTATGTTTTCTCTCATATGTGGGAACTAGGGAGGAAAGGGGAAAGGGAAGGTTAGGGGGTGGATCTCATAAAAATTGAAGGGAAGCCAGTAGAGGAAAGAGACCGAAAAGGAGGAGAGAAAGGAGAGGGTAAATAAATAACAATGAGTCCTACCATTATAAAGCACCAATAAAAATACAGCAGGGAGAACGGTGCCTCCTCACATTTCCCAGCCCTCAAATCTACTCTGAGGATAAAGGGAAATAAAGCCTATAGAATGCTCATTTGTAAATTACCCTTTTCATTAATTCACAACCATTTTAATGTTGGGTTCTAAAAGTTGGGAGTAGAGCAGTGGCCCAAATAGGTGAAGTCTCTGTCCTCTTGGCAGTACATTCTAAATGGGAAAAACACAACTGCCAATAACTAGGCTGAAAAATAAGGAAGATCATGATAATTTGGGTCAATTGATCTGAAGGAAACAAGGTACTGTGGACAGGGGTCTGGGACCAGCCAGTGGCTAGAGTGGAAGGGCCTTAGCAATGAAAGTAAAGACCTCATTGATGAGATGACTTGTCAATTAATTTTTGAATGACAGAAAAGAGCCAACCCAGTGAAGGTCTAGAGTTYAGAGTTTTAGGCTGTAAATGCAGAAGCCCCAAGGTGGGAAGGACTTGGTCCCTTGGTTGGACATCAGCATGGCCACTTATAAAGAGTGAAAAGAAAAACAGTAGAAAAGATATCCAAGAATCAGATGGACCTCAGACATCTCCGGCCAACCAACCTCCTTGTTGATCCACCACTAGGCTCCCACAAGTCTCTTCTRGTGTCAAGCAGGCTATGCCAAAGGAAAACCTAAATGCCTTTGACTTCACCACAATCTACAATTCTCTAGCACATTCCCAGACTGCAGGAGCTGACTTCCAAAGCTTCAACACATCACTAGACTGGTCAACCAGATGGCTCAGTCCTGGCTGAGTTTAGGAGAAGTCTATATTCTTTTTTTTTTCATGGTTGTTATAATTTTTTTCAGCATTACAATTTTTATTACACATACAAAGCACAATTTGTCATATCTCTGGTTGTATACAAAGTATATTCACACCAATTTGTGTTTTCATACTTGTACTTTGGATAATAATGATCATCACATTCCACCATCATTTCTAACCCCAAGCTCCTCCTTCCCCTTCCCACCCCTCTGCTCTATCTAGAGCTCATCAATTCCTCCYATGCTCCCCCTCCCTACCCCACTATGAATCAGCCTCCTTATATCAGAGAAAACATCTGGCATTTGKTTTTTTGGGATTGGCTAACTTCACTTAGCATTATCTTCCCTAACTCCATACATTTACCTGCAAATGCCATGATTTTATTCTCTTTTATGGCCGAGTAATATTCCATTGTGTATATATGCCACATTTTTTAAATCCATTCATCTATTGAAGGGCATCTATGTTGGTTCCACAGTTTAGCTATTGTGAATTGAGCTGTTATAAACATTCATGTGGCTGTGTCCCTGTAGTATGCTGTTTTTAAGTCCTTTGGGAATAGACCAATGAATGGGATAGCTGGGTCAAATTGTATTTCTGTTCCCAATTTTCCAAGAAATATCCATACTGCTTTCCGTATTGGCTGCACCAATTTGCAGCCCCACCAGCAACATATGAGTGAGCCTTCTGGGAAGTCTATTTTCTACTGTGACTTATTCTACGTAAGCACCTCCCTTCCTCTATGTGATTGAGGCTCAACAGATCTTGTTGATGACTTGCTCAGCATAACAAGTTGTTCAATATTCAAGAGCTCTTTATTTCACTCTGTGCAGCCTGGATCCAAATCCCACCTCTTCGCCCATTGCCTGTATGACTTTGTAGGCAATTTATTTCTCTCTTTTGGGGGGTCTCCATTTCCACATCTGTAAAGGGAGACCAGTACTCACCCCGTGTAGCTGCTTTGGCACTTAAATTAGGCAATGCAACTAAASGGTGTGGAACTCTGGCTGTATTTGGTGAGCCTTAGGGACTGTGGCTGCTCTGCTCTTCATTACTCTGGGGAAAGTTCTTCTCATTTTCTTAACAGGAGGGCCCTTAGGCCTGCCCCCCCCCGCCCCGGTGTTCAAGTTATTCAGAAGTGCGACATTTGACGTTGAGGCATATTTAACTTGGGGGTGAGGAGGGTACCCGCAGTGTTTGCCCTGTGGAGGCTTATCTTTCTTGTGTGTGAACTAGCCAGGCTGCACACAGATGGGCAGATCTATCTGTGGGTGAAGCATGATGGCCTCACAGGGGCTGAGACTTCAGGTGTTCAGTCTACAGGACCTGGGAAAATGCAACAGATGTGACATTGGACTGCTGGTGTCGSCTTTGGGGGGCTCCTGAACCCAACTATTCAAATTATAATGAGACCGTAGCATGATTGCTGTTGTTTTTAACCATTATGATTCAGGTTGTTTCCTTGCCTAGTGATAGTTAACCGGTAGTAGTGGGGAGACTGTGGGGCCATTGTGAGGGCTGACAAATCTGTCTCCAGAGYATGTGCCCAGGTGTTGCCAGTCTGCCAGAGAGAGAGAGAGAAAGAAGGCAGGTGGGGCAGAGCGGGGGGGGGGGTGGATTTTCTTAGACACTTTTCTTTGCTTTCAGCTATGTGGGGGCATTTCCTTCCATTCTGGTGGAGACCGACCACCCTGGGTTTTTAGGGTTTGCTGCTTGTAAACGACTTGGTGATGAAATAGAAAATAGAAAAACAGGACCTACGGGATGCACAGGTCCATGCAGAGCTGCAGAGGCACAAAGTTGGTGACTTTCCTCCCCCTTTCWTCAAGTATTCTTCCATCTTCTCAGACTTGTGGGAAGACTGGCCGCCATTACTAATCTCGTTTTGTGTATTTGAACAGATATAAATATTAAGTACACACGGCATGTGCTATCATCACTCCTGTTTCTTGTCCAAATGATAAGGCTGGAGTATAAAAGACATCCCAGGGAACCCAGGGGAAGGGAGTGCCTGGATTCTCAGACAAGGTAAGCCACCTCTGCWTTGGGGTCCCTCATCAGCTGAGGAGTGGAGAGTCTTTGTTCACTGCCCTGATCCTGAGTGTGGTTGAATTTATTGCAGATGATGATCTTCTGGACAGTCACACTTTTCCTGCTGGGAGCAGCCAGAGGTAAGAAATACCTCCCCTCCCCTGTGGGAGRGGCACAAGCCTGAGCTCTCAGCACTGGCCAAGGAAGCTCTAGCCCTGCTGGGCTTCAGAGACTGTAGGTTGCTGCAGGTTCCAGGAAGAGGCAAGTGGGGCGACACTGCCCAGTAGGGTGGACTGGGCAGTGTGAGAGGGGACCTGCTTCAGAGCATGCCCTCTGCCCTGCCTTCATGCCCAAGGTACCGTGGCTGGAATTTTCTAGGAAAAGCATTAAACACCTGCCTGGGTTAACCTACTGACTTATCAGTGCCCATTATCACATTAGTTGAATAATATATCAGAAGAGTTTGGGAGGAGACTTAGAAATCCCAAGTTTGAGATGGCAATTGTAAATGAAGGCTCCATTGGTGTCCCTGTAGAATTCATGGGGACTGGGCCAGGCCAGTTGGTGAGCACGAGGGGCAAGAAGAGAGGTAGAGATGGTGCATTATTGTCTGCAGTCTGCCCTGAGCAGAAGAGGGACACCTGGACCCTGGCCTTTTCTCTTTAGGAAAAGAAGTTTGCTATAAGGATGTTGGGTGCTTTTCTGATTCTGAGCCTTGGGCTGGAACTGCAATCAGACCCCTGAAAATTCTCCCCTGGAGCCCTGAGAAGATCAACACCCGTTTCCTGCTCTACACCAATGAGAACCCAGACACCTTTCAGGTGAGACCTTGGTCCACTTGGCATCYCTAGGACTGAGTGAGGGGCTGTCCCACCCCATACATCAGGAGTTCCTGATCTCTGGGTCTGTTCCCTCCACTCTACCCCCTCCCAGCCCTCAAGTTTCTCCCTCCTGGACCTGGTGACTCAGAGCAAGCCAGCAGTAGATGGTGGCTTGAGTGAGAGACTGGTTCATAAGTGCAGATTCTCTAGCTGGTTATGTGGTTCCGGGCTAAGCAAAGGGCTTACTGTCATCCAGCCTGACCCATGGGAAAGTAAGCCTGCAGCCACAACCCAGATCCCATGGAGGCTGGGGAGAAGGACTTGGGGAAAAGAGGTTCATGGGAAGAGGTGGCTCTGTTCTAGCTGTGAAAGGCAGGGGCATCAAAACTTGCGGAGGTGGGAAGGTGGGGGATGGGCTGAGGGCCGGATGGCAGAGCCATGAAGCACYCTGCATCTGTCACAGATGCTGCAGCTCTCTGATCCATCGACCATCGAGGCATCTAATTTTCAAACGGACAGGAAGACCCGGTTCATCATCCACGGCTTCATAGACAAGGGCGATGAGAGCTGGGTGGGAGACATGTGCAAGGTAGGAGCTGGCTCTGGCCCCCGGCGGCTGCCGCTTTCCACTCACCGACTCTCCKACTCATTTTACCCAATCGCAATAGATGATTCTGATAACAGGAAACCCACACGTATCTGTTCTCTTTGTGCACTCAAAATGCTTCTCTTTACAAACTTCAAATTCCAATGTTTCCAGACTATTTCTGCAGCTGGAAGCAGTAGCATTTGCCATGTGAACAAATAGACCCACTTTCTCGTTTCTGGTTAAGCAAGGCTCAGTGTTTTCTGTTTTCATGTTTAGTGAGTGTATTTATGTATTTCTGCAAGTGAGGGGATTAGGTTCTTTCCTTTCAAATCTTGCCCACATCTCCTGGTGTCAGAGATGTGTTGCTGGAACTATCTACTTGAGATACGGAGACCTAAGATCTACCAAAAAGGCAGAACAGAGACAGCCACAATTACATGTGAGATAGCATCTGCTTGTCAGAAGGACAGCACCAGGAGAATCAGACACAAACGCACACCTGGACATCTGTGCACACCTGGACATAGGCACGCACACACACATACTATATATATATATATATATATATCACCCTTCTTTCTTTTCACGTGTACTTTGAGATTCAATCTAGTTTTCTGTCACCTAAGAATTTATCTCAGGAGTCTGCCTTCCACACGTACATTAATAACAACATCAACTGATAGTGTCAACAGGAAAATCACAAACCCCCACATTACTCACTGTGCATTTGGCCTTGGTTTACCGAGCTTTTAACTCTTGGCAACTTTCCTGTCATTAATCAGCATCTTCTCAACGTGGTTTATGCCCCCAATTTTCCAGGTTTTTAAAAGATTCCTCAGGGTCACTTTACAAGTAAAAGTCCCGAGAAAAAGGAAAAAGGAAAAGAAATCTYGGCATGTCTCTGCATATGTGATCACACATGTTTGTAACATATGTGTGAAACAGTTCCATGTGAATTTTAAATTTATATTTCTGAGTTGATCATGTGACTGCCTGGCAGAACTCTTGAGGATCTATCAGTTCCTTTGACATCCAGGGAGCTTTTCTTTCAGAATTTTTTGATCTCTTTTAATCAGTAAATTTCTTTATTTTTTTATGTTAAAGTCTGAGGTATTTTCCCCCAGGAAATGCTGTGCCATCTTGACTGTCAAGAGGGAACCCTCCCTCCCACTTTAACGTTCAAGAGATGTCCAGTAGGCTGAGGTGTCACCAAGAGGCGAGAGGACCCCTCAAATCCATAAGGTCATTTAGACACCAGCCACTGGAGACTGTCCTTGAGACTTTCTTTTTTTAAAAAACAGGACACTTCGGCCGGTGCAGTGGTGCACACCTATAATCTCAGTGATTTTGGAGGCTGAGGCAGGAGGATTGCAAGTTTGAGACCAACTTTAGCAACTCAGTGAAGCCCTAAGCAACTTAGGGAGACTCAGTCTCAAAATAAAAAAATAAAAAGGGCTGGAGATGTGGCTCACGTGCTGAGTGCCCCTGGGTTACATCTCCAATAACCCCAATCCCTCAAAAAACAGAACTCTTTGAAGGATGCAATTGTTTTATCCCACCTGATAGATGTTGCCTGAATTTGATTGAAGAAACAAGGAAGTGCCCAACTTTTAATTAACCTGCAAGCTAGAGAGGGAACCACTTGCCCTTCTCCTAAGATGCACCCTGGGGTCAGCCCCTGCTGGACTGTAGGATCTCTAACAAAGTCTAGTTCATGGCAGTGCCTCATGTAGGAGAAGAGAGAGTGGCCCTTTCTGAGCCCCAGTGGAAGGGATTTCCTGGGTCTCCGTGATAACACCTGGCCTCTCCCCAACACCAGAACATGTTCAAGGTGGAGGAGGTGAACTGCATCTGTGTGGACTGGAAGAAGGGCTCCCAAACCACCTACACACAGGCTGCCAACAAYGCGCGCGTGGTGGGCGCCCAGGTGGCCCAGATGCTCAGCATCCTCTCGGTGAGTCAGCAGCGGGGGAAGCAGGGCTGCTGGTCTCTGTTGAGCCAAGGAGCAGCTGGGAGCTACAAAGAAGTGGTGTTTGTCTCAGGGTCTTGTTTTTGGAACTCTGACTATTGCCTCAATGACACACCAGGGAAAGAAAAAATAACAGCTAACACTTAGTAGGTGGGGGGCTTTGATTATCATCTTCAGTTTGCAGGTAAGGAAACTGAGGCCTAGAAAGGTTAACTAGTTTGCCCCCCAAAACTTATAGAGCAGATAAATAGAAGAGTTTCCGTTGGGGTTCAGACTAACAGCACCAGGGGCCACCCTTGACACAGTTAGGCTCTCTTTGGGGGAAAACATAGCCAAACGCCAAGTGTGCAGTTGGCAAGCTCCAAACATGTCAGCCTGCGAATGTGGATCCTATTGATTCTGGGAAATTTCTTCTGCCATAATCATTCCAGTTGTTTCTTCCTACCCTGGTCTTTCATTGTAGCTAATTTTTTATGCCTTTCATTCTTTAAATTAATCCAGTAATTCTTCTTGATATTTTCTACACACGGCCAAGATTCCCGTCATTTCTGTCTTATAGCTAACAAGTCTACACAAGAACCAGTTGGTTCTAGCTATTTCTGCACCCCTGCAGAAATCAAAAACCGTGGTGTTTGTACAAGAGGCATTGCAGACCAATCAGTGAGAGGCATCGGGTGAATATCCTCGAGGCCAGCCTGTGCAAACACCTTAGAGATTTATTGGCTTTGTTTGTTGCACTCATGATTTTTGGAGGATGGTGTCAGGAGCGTGAAAGGAGGTAATCGAGACAGATGAGGTCCCAGGCCCTCAAGGAGCTTGCAGGGAAGATTTACAGTGACAGTCGTGTGAGCTATTGGAGATGGGGACAGCGTGGGCCTTCTGGGAGTCCATGAGACAGGGAAGCCAGAGTGGTGTGGGGGTGTTGAGACTCCTAAGTGGGGAGCTGAAGGCTATTTGATGTTGGCTGGGGCGGCTGAGCAGGGGGATGGGAAAAAATGGGACTAACCAGGCCCAGAGGTGGGGGGTAGGATGTACTTGAGGGCCTGAAAACTCATCAAAGGGTTTGGTTAGAGAAGAGGCTAGAAAAATAGCTGATGAGTCAGGAAAGCTCAGAGGCTCTTCATGATAAGACGGGGCTCAATCCCAAGGGCAGGGGAAGGCATGGCAGGATTCCAGCAGAGTAGTATCACCATCAGGTGGGCATGTTAGCAAAACCAGAGCACAAAAACGCCCTGAAAATAAACCCCGCCCCTCTCCAGACGAACTACAGCTACTCACCTTCTCAAGTCCACCTCATCGGCCACAGCCTGGGAGCCCACGTGGCGGGAGAGGCTGGGAGCAGGACCCCAGGCCTGGGCAGGATTACTGGTAAGGTCCCTATTGAGGCCCCAGGGTTTGTCCTTGGTAGCCCCAGAATGTGGTCACAATCTGCAACCCATCTTAGAGCCACCCAGCAGGAGGGTGTCCCCTACAGCATGGCAGGGCTGGGTGGAGCCTGCACAGATCATTTTAGGAAGTCCCCAAGAAGCTCACCGGCCATCTTGGAGGCAAGGATGGTGGTCACGGTCCTGTTCTCCTTTGCTTCTTCTACCTCCATCCTGGCCCCTCCTCTGTACGTCCAAGTTCAGCCCTGGACACCCAGGAAAATACATAATAAGGCTAGTATGAGTATTTGCAAAATATGATTTTAAAGGGAACACATTATCACCCCTTTCCCCTTTTCTTGGAAGCCCAGGACAGAGTAGAACCTGAAAATTGTTTTCCACTTTCTCTGCTGATAAAAAATTCTCAGTCACCATCATTGTCAAAGCATCCTTTAAACCCTAGGAAAATCCTTGAATTATAGCCACAACAAAATATGTTCATACAATATAATAATATTAGTGCTATTATAATGATTTTGGAAAGCACAAATTCAGTGCCTGATTCTCCCCAATCCTGCACACTGTGCTTGACATTTCTTATTTAATTCTCAGAACTAAAGCAATGGGCCCAGGAAGCCCTTTTCTATCAGTAGATGGCCATGTTCATGTACATACCTTTTCAGCTGCTCTGACCAAAATTTAAAAAAACTACTAAGAAATCCAGGATCCCTGCCAAGAAGGAAATACAGTCAAAAGGAAATAATAATAACTAATGTTAATATCAGCTAGTATTAATTAATATTAATATTAACTAATATTAAATTATTAAACTAAATTAATACTAAATAAATATTAAATTAATATTAACTAATATTAAACACCCATGACTACAAACAGGCTCAGTGCTAAATGCTAAGTACTAATTTACTTAATCTATAACAACTATATCAAATAGATGCCTTGTTACCTTCATTGTATCAAATGGACAAACTTACACAACAAAAGGTTGGGTATTCTGCTCAAGGTCATATAACTTGCCCCCAAAATAGGAATTTGGAGCCAGGCAACCTAGCTCTAGAATCCTTGTTCAAACAAAATCTAAATTTATTTACTCATATGATTTTAAAGGGAACACATTATCACCCCTTTCCCCTTTCCTCTGTACTAGCCACCAGAATTCTCTTATAATGAGCGACATTGGAACTTTATGTCTCCATATTCAGTACTCAGAGCCACAACAGTGCACCACCTCAGAATGTGCCGCCCTTTGAGTTGGGCAGCATATAGCCTAGGCAACTGGATACTTCTGTCCTTCTGGTGCCAACAGTCAGGACTGTTGTTCTACACTGCTGCCATCTCTTTCAGGACTGGATCCCGTGGAAGCAAGTTTCGAGGGCACTCCTGAGGAGGTTCGACTTGACCCTTCGGATGCTGTCTTTGTGGATGTGATTCACACAGACGCGGCACCCTTGATCCCATTCCTGGGTGAGTCCCGCAGTGCTCCTGCTGCAATCCTGTGCGACTGTGTCTGAACCACAAGAGCCCTGCTTTACCAAAGGCATGTTGCTGTTCCAAACATCACAGGTTTTGGAACAAACCAAATGATGGGTCACCTTGACTTCTTCCCCAATGGAGGAGAGAACATGCCGGGGTGCAAGAAGAATGCCCTGTCACAGATCGTGGACCTCGACGGCATCTGGTCAGGTAACATCATGGAGGGGACATAGGTAGGGGTAGTGTCAGGGAGGACATCCCTTCCTTCCCTGGGGTGAGCAGCACCTGCCATTGAAAATATAASCAATGAAAACACGTCTTCCTTTAAGAATATACAACCCCTGCTTCTGGACCTGATTTCTGAAGAATAGAGCATATCTTCGTTAGAGTTCAGCTCTACTGTTTTCTATTTCCTTAAAATGTTGTCATAGATGTCCTTGAATGCACAAGCAACAAAGAACTGCAAAACTGTTGATTAAAGTTGTAGCTTCAAGAATCTGCTGGAGCTGCCAAGCATGAAAAGGAAATGTTATATCAGTAAACATCCTTTGTACACCTAAGAGAATTTTCTTGCATGCTCTGTCTTGGGAGTTAGTGATATGGTTCAAACTTATCTCACCTCAATACAGTAGCCATGGGAGAATCTTCCCAGTGGCTTCCCGATGAAGCCATTAGCACCATGAAGGTCACTGAAGCAGTCACAGCAAGGAGGCTGSAGGAGACCCATCTCTCCTCATTGACTAAGCACCTGGCATGAAGGGCATCTTTCAGATACTGCTCTGACCCTCTATCTAATGAGTTCAAAGGACAATGGCCAGGTGCACTTTTCATCCAAACTCATCATCCAGTGTCACTATACCGGTTAAAACTTTTAATGGTCTGACCAAATCTATTGAGTATAGATTTTTATTGAATTTGCTCAAAATGGTTTGGATGACTTCAAAGCGTATATTAAGATGGGACATATGAGGGTTTCCATGGAAAAGAGTGGCCCAGACTCTTTTTATCAGTAATAGCCAAGCAAGTCCAGGCCAGGTCTTGAAAGTGTGCTGTGACATGTGTCCCTTGGCATGAGTCACAGGGAGTAAGATGGTGTGGAGACGATGCGTAGATAAAGCCACCCAACCATCCCTTTTATTCGTGTAAGTGCTGGTTCTGTCACTTCTGGGAAGTCACATCACATCTGGATGTGTCTTTGCAGACTTCCAACCTGATCCTGGGACCCAGAATGGCACCAGAGGTTAGAGGGACGGCTCAAGCACCYGATGGGCTTGGGTTTCATTACAGTTCTCTCACTTACCCTGGCAGCTTGTGAATCAGAGGCTGTCACCTGTAGCTATTTCTGTAACAGGGACAATTGGTGTCATTCCTAGGAAAGGTGAGGTTCCATGGACAATGCCTTTAAAATGATCAGAGCATTGCCCAGTCACCCAAGTTCCCTCTACATGTTCACTGCCATTGTGTAACTGGATTTGAACTGAAGTTCTGAAACTGTGGCCCTACTATGGAACCATTCCACTTGTCAAGAGCACCATAGAATCTGTCACAGCCCACCCCCATCCACCTGTACAGACTCACTCCTTTTCCTCCCCAGGAACCCGGGACTTTGTGGCTTGCAATCACCTAAGAAGCTACAAGTATTACTTGGACAGCATCCTCAGCCCTGATGGGTTCACTGCGTACCCTTGCATGTCCTACAAGGCCTTTGAGTCTGTAAGCTCCTGTTCTCTGTGACCTGGGCACTGGCCCACGGTGGGCCTGCGGCCTGCTTTGTTGAGGGTTTGCAGTGCTTCTCATGGCATGTTTGCATTTCCCCTCGAGTTCATGRTCCTGGGGGCTGAAGGAGGGGGAAGAAGACTTTAGGCAGGAAGTGGCAAAGACTTAGAGCAGATGAGTCATACGGGAGAGGAAGACCCCTCGGGAGGTCAGAGAAGAGCAGACCTGGTCCACATAGTCTAGAAAGGCTCCAGCAGGAGGCCACTTTGGCTCTGACTTGCGAGATGACAGGATTAGAAGGAAGAGGGGCCACATTTCTAGGGAGGGCAGAGAAAGCATAGAGGACCTTGGGAGAGGAGCCAGCCACCCACCCACAGGAAGGGAAGGCGGTGCTGGGGGCCATGTGCCAGGAGGCCACAGGGAGAGACGGAAGAAAGCACCCCCTGGAGCCTGCCTATTCTGGCTCCCCAGGGCCACTGTGGGCATCCCCCCCAGCTCCGTGTCATCATGGCTGCAGGCTGAAATTGACCAGGACCAGAGTTTTTACACCATCAAAACTGGTAAATGCTACAATCAGGACTTTTTGTCCTGGAAACCAGCTGCTAATCATTCACCAGCCTGTTCCTCTACAGAAAGTGGCTGATTGAGCCTGGGCCCAAGGCCTCCGTGCTTTTTAAAGCTCCCCAAATCAATCTAGTGTGCTGGGCCTCAGGGCTGGGAATCCAGTCAGAGATGGAGGCAGTTCAGAGCTCATCTCTTCCATCCTCTTTCCTGTTACAAATGAGGACCAGGGGGCTGTAGGGAAATTGAGCATCACTCTCCCAGCTGGTCTGGTCCTAAGAAGATGAATTATGTCTCCTCACAATAGAACAAGTGCTTCCCCTGCCCAGATCAAGGGTGCCCGCAGATGGGTCACTATGCTGATAAATTTGCTGGCAAGACGAGTGCAGAGCAGCAGAAATTCTTTCTGAACACAGGCGATGCCAAGAATTTTGCACGTAAGTTGCCCTTGACTACTTGCCCAGGTAAAGAAAGTGTCGTTTCTGTTACAAATGGAGTCATATGGGAGAGGAAGACTCCTCGGGAGGCAGAGACCTCCTAAAATATGTGTGGCTCATCTTAAACATCTTCAAAAAGATGCATCCATTCAAACTATCCCATATGAGACTCAACTATGGCATGAAATGGGTGGTAGCCAACAGTATGATTGATGGGATTAAGGCAGTTGGCCTGATTTTGCGACCAACTCCCTGAATTTTCACCACTCCACCCACAGTGTACCCTCCTTTTCCTTTTTAAGATCATGTCAAACACACCTAAACAGCAAACTCATTTGGTAGTACTCTTTGCGAGATTGAATGGGCCCCTTAAGAAGTCTACCTGCAATCTCCTGACTTCCCCCGTCTGTCTATGCAGCCCTGATGCCCAGAGGCTGCTTCTCCAGTGGAATGGGGTTGGGGATCCAGGATGATTTCTTTCCAAARCATGCTGAATGGACTAGAATGTAGGGTAGAGGTCAAGTGTGTTTGTGCCACTTTTTGACAACCTSCCCTTTGACAGCTCCATAAGGTGTTGCCAAAAAAAAAAAAAAAAAGATTGTGTTTTATGTAAATATAGTATTTATAATATTAAGGCAAAATTCATCCTTTTAGTGCAAGGTTCTATGCATTTTGACAAATGAGTAGATGTGTAACTACTTCAAGTATCAAGACGCCCATGTTCATCATTTTGTAAGAAGACACTGACTAATCAAGCCTTCTACCAGTGTAGTGATGCACAAAATACTTGCTCATATTTTAACAACAAAGTAAGCATTCGAGAACCTTGCACTTATTCCTTAACCAACAGTTAKTTATGGACCACAGATATGGGCCACTAGACCCCTGGGGATATGGGGATGAGCAGGACACTCCACTCATGAAATTTATAATTCATCAGAGAAGATGAAAACTGAGCACCTACAGTGGTGTTGGGCTTGGAGGGTTGCTGCTATAGCCTTATGGGCAGGGGAGCTGGCCCTAACCAGAGGGGAGGACAGGGGCAATGTCTCTGAGGACATAAAAGATGCAGAGGAGTTAGACAAAGGTATGTATCTGTGTATTTATATACATATGTGTGTTCGTGTCGGGGTGTGTTTATAGTGTATCACTGTGTGTATTATGGAGTGTGTGTATGTTTATATTTGTAGTGTGTGTTTGTGTGTGTGTGTGCAGGTGTATGTGCCCTTGGATGGTACTCTGTGCACCTACTCGGTGCTGGAGGCTTCCTGGGGCCTGGAGAATACATAGATGAGACACAGRCCTGGCCTCAAGGGCTCTGCAGTCTGCACTCCTGAGCAACCTTCCCACATGCGGCTTGGACCCTAGTTCCTTTCCCACCTTGACCCACAGCCCTGCAACTCTAGCGTGGAGCTGTCCCGCAGAGCTTTCTACAATGATGAGCATGTTCTGCCCTGTGGGATCCAGAAGCCATTCACCCACCTGGCAACTTAGCACCTGAGGATGCAGCCAGTGAGCCTGAGAACTAAAATTTTAATTTAATTTTAATTTTAGTTTTCATGAAGCAGCTACCTGTGTCTAGTGACCACCTTCCTGGGTGGAGCAGGTCTGGAGGGGGCCACTACTGAATGCATACTCCTTTTAAGGCCTAGTTTGAAGTGTGCACTAATAAGTAGAATTGCTCATGCTTTCATGCCTCTGTGTAAGGATTAGGGCAGGATCTRGGATTTGGGTCACCAGTTTTGGGTGAAAAAAATCAAACCCTCCCATGCTCTGTGCAGGCTGGAGATACGGGGTTTCTGTAACACTGTCTGGAAGAACAATCACTGGTGAGGTCAAGGTGGCTTTGTTTGGAGATAAGGGAAACACTCGCCAGTATGACGTCTTCAGGTAACCCTGCTTAATGCCTCATCTCATTCTGTGCTACACACGGCCTTCACAAACACCCATTCTATATCGATGGGTTTTACTTTATGTACTGAAGCTAATCTCAGACTTCTGCTAATAATTTTTATTTTCTCTAAACCCAGCATTTAGTTCTCTCTCGATAGGGACAAATTTAAAAAATAATAATAAATTTAAATTACCCCAGAGATCCTGTTCTCTGATTAACATAATAACACAATGTTAAATTAAGTGGCTAATTTATTACAATATAAATAATTCTTCTAGAAAAAAAATAATATGAAGAAATTAAATCATTTTCTATAGGAAACTTTTGAAGAGAAATTAACCTGAGTTTGAAAAACAATCTTTAAGTAGCGGTTTGGGGCTTCTGGCATATAGTCAGGTTTTGCATTTCTCCATCCTTTATTTGTAAGCTAATTTGGAAGGAGACTTTTATTTTTACTGGTGCGTTATGATTATACATAACTGTGGGATGCATTATGCTATATTCGTACATGCAGGTAACATAATTTGATCAATCTCATTCCCAAAGGCTGTTATTAATCTGAGGTAAAGAAAAGACTTTAGCATGACTGTCCCTGGCCATTACAGTGCACTTCCATGAATAGCTTCTACTTCTCGTCTCAAGGGGTATCATCATGCCAGGCTCTACCCACTCCAAGGAGTTCGATGCAGAGCTCGATGTCGGAACGATTGAGAAAGTCAAGTTTCTTTGGAATAACCACGTGGTGAACCCGACCTTCCCCAGAGTGGGTGCAGCCAAGATCACTGTGCAAAAGGGAGAGGAGAAGACAGTGTATGTACCTTTGCTGGCTGTGTCTCAGGGTGTGCCAAGGGTCATGTCTGTGATGGAAACTCACCCCCAGAAGGTCAGGTGTGGTCTGGCCAGAAAGGCCAAGGAAATCTGCCCATCTGCAGCACTTTCTCCCCAGCAAACAACAGCTGCCAAGAGCAGGAGGCATTTCTGTTGGACGAACTGCACAGGGATTCTTGGCACTGGGTTGCCTGTGGCAATATGGCAGACAGCATCCAGCCTTCATGGAAAAATAAGAAAGTTAAACAAGGAAATTTTTCTAAGGGGTAAAAGGTCCTAAGTGTGAAYGGACAAGCAGCTACATTTTGAAGAGGAGAGGACAAGTGACCTTTCAGGATAGACGAAGGAAAAAGAAACCAGTTTTAAGGAAAGATAATAGAAAGTTTTGAGCTCCAACAGGAGAGCACTGAGATGGCAGGACTTGAGGAGTGGCATCTAACCTGAGCCCCCTTGCTGTGTGCCTGATGGGCATAGGGTCTAGACTAGAAAGAGAAGGCAGTTGGTGTCCACAGAAAAGCTGACCCCAAGTCTGACCAGCAGGACATTCCTGGTATGGCTTTGTGGGAAGGGAACCTGAATTCTCAATTGTGACCTTGAAGCTGGGGAGTTAGATGGGGCCACCAAAGACAGGGCCCTAGGAATGTCACTCCCCCAGGTGGGAAGGGAGAATTGGCAGATTGGCCCTGGGGTAGACACATGTGTCATCGAGATGGATGACCTCTGAGGTCCTTCCTGTCTCCACGAGGTGGGAGGACAGAGAGGCTGGCCCAGCAGGAGAGCCAGCAGAACMAGAAGTCCTCTCAGCTGGAGCACAGCAAGGAGGTGGCCAGGCCTGGCTCTTGGGGACCCTAGCTCAGGTAGCAGACCCAGCCCAGGGCTCCCCTGTCAGTCCCACTGGAGGACACAGCTCTAAAGTCAGTTCCAGGGTCATTTTGGGTGTGTCCCATGGCCTGCATCCTGTGACAGTGTGGCTAAAAGTATCGGAAGAAGGTGGCATAATTGGAATATTGAAAATGAGAGGTACTTTCAGGAAATTTCCCACAGGTAAGAAATATGAGACCAGGGCCCGGAAGCTTCCAGGTTGATAAGCAGCAGGGCCCAGCAGCTTCCAGGCTGATAAGGAAATATCAAGGCTTATGAACTATCTATAGATGAAACAGATGTAGCTGAGTTTACCCCTGAGACCCTGCACCCATGGGCTGCCCCTGAGCCCTCCCATAGCTGAGCCCATCCTCTGCAGTGGACCTAGAGAGAATCTTTGGAGAAGCCGGGTGTCCGATACCAGGCTTTTAAAATATAGAAAGTTCAGCAACAGCTTCAAACCTCACCAACTACCTTAGGGAATAAAAGACTCTCAATTAATCAAGTTATTCCGATTATTTGGCGGTATGAAAAGAACCACCAATGTTTTCTTAAGTAGCACTAATAATTGCAAAGTTAGAGAAAATCAAGATTTGGCTCCCCCTCAGATGCTTTAGTCACCTGGAGGGGGTTTGCAGGGCTACCCTGAAGACTAGAATTCCCTCCAGGGGCAGGAGACCAAAAGAGAAAAGTAGTTCTCCCCTTCTTCGCTTCTCCAGCCCCCTTATCCATGTCAATGGGCCTCGGGGCGGATGGCCTGAGCCTGCTCTCAAGGAGTTCACAGTTCAGCTGTGGAAAAAAAACAGACTTAAGGCCCACGTGAAAGTTTATGTGACTCACCATGAGGGGCCCATGTGGAAGTGGCCCCCCAAGGAGGAAGTGATGGGAGGAGGGGCCCACAAGGCTGGGGAGATGTAGGGGGAGGGAGAGGAAGGGCAAGGAGAGGAAGTTCCAGGAGCAGGAACAGGTGTGCACAGGGCAGGAGGCRGCCAGGCCCTGATGACAGGGCTCAAGGTGCAGGACGCCAGGTTAAGGCTTCTAGGAAAAACAAATCCAGAAGAGAACACGGCAGAGTGTCAGGAGGACAGGAGAGGAAGTGGGACAAAGCTTCAGAGCTCAGAGGTGGTGAGGCCACAGCGAGGCCCTCAGTCCTTGAATAACCGTGACTTATATCTGCCTTGTGTGGGTGTTCTCAGAACGCCTTTCACATTCATTGTCAGGGGATATTGTCGGGGGATTCTCGACAATTGCATGAGGGAGCCTCTTTTGTAAGGAGGATAGCTTCAAGTAACAAGCTGCATCTGTGATAGGAGATGGAAGGGGCGTGGGAAACAGGAGAAAGCAGGCCAAGGTCAAGGGAGGCTTGACACGGGACCTGCTGTAGCAAGTCAGGACTGGCATCAGGTGGGCTGTATTTGTCTCTTGGTTCTTCCTCTTACTAAGAGCTCTCTGTGCCTCAGTTTCCTCTCCCTAAAGCAGAACTCATGACTAGACCTCCTCAATGTGTGGTGAGGGTGGAGTTCACACATGGGGATTGTTCAGTGTTGTTACAGCTATGAGAATAAGGCAGTGTATGGTATCCACCCTCACCCCCAGATGGTCCCTAGAGTGAAGTGTCCCCTTGAAACCAGGCCACTGCATTCACAGAGGCCCAGGACGGACCTGTGAGATTTAGAGAAGGGAGGGGTGCTGCCTCCAGGAGCCACAGTCCTGACACCTGAAGGACCAGCCTCAGGGACATTCCAGGGTGACAGCAGGCCTGGTCCTGGTCCTGGTGGGCCTCTCAGACTGGAAGCCCGCGTGCCTGGCTCCTGGCATCTGAACTGTAAACCAGCAGCAACCTTTGATGAACAACTGAGGTCCTCATGGCTTCCCCAAGGACACCTCAACATTCAACAAGCATTCATTTTTCTCCACAGGTACAACTTCTGTAGCAAAGAAACTGTGAAAGAAGATGTTCTGCTCACTCTCACACCTTGTGAAACTCCAGACACACTGTAACCCCGTGTTAACACCAATAAAACCCTCTGCTGCCTCTGTCAGTGCACAGCGCCTGTCTCAGACATCAAAAATCTCATGAGCCCTTCTGCGCACTTGGGTCTCTTGCCRTTGACTTGGATCCCACACCACCATTTCCCCCACCTTCTCGGTCCCCATGCTCACTGTCTTCCTTTCCCTGAGGGGATGGAGATTAGCAGCACACACAGACAGTGATGGGGGTGTCCTGTCCAAGCCCAGCTGGGCCAGGCCAACAGGTAGATTGTAGACAGGCCGAAGGATATGCCCAGAGACAGCGTGCAAGACGTATGACTTATTGGGGAAAGTTTACGAGAGATCAGTGACTGTTCCAAGACAGTGGTGACAGGCTGAACAGATCGCATCCCTCTCCCCATCCTGGACATGCTTCTCCAAGCAGTGCTTCCCCTCCCTCATGACATTTTGTAGTGGTGGCTGGCTGGACAAGTGACATGTACCCTTTCCACAGTGCCCTCAGTTCCACACCTGTCCCATGGAGAAAGGGGATTTATATGTTGGGCTGCAGAAGCAGTGACATCATCAGCATTAGCTTGCTTAGTTAGCTGTCTGAGCAGCATCCAAGGAGCAGCGGTCCTGGCAGTGCATGCAAGAGCACAGCCTTCTACAGATAACACCAACTGTGTGCACGAGAGAAGCCAGCGTCCTTCAAGATGATCTGGACCTGGACCTTCCGACCCAGGCTTGCTCTCATTGTTCCCTTAACCTGGCTAGGTTTGGGGGAAGAGCTGGGTGCAGTGGCGCTTGCCTGTAATCCCAGAGGCTGAGGAGGCTGAGTCAGGAGGATCACAAGTTCAAAGCCAGCCTCAGCAAAAGCCAAGCAACTCAGTGAGACCCTGTTTCTAGATAAAATACAAAACAGGGCTGGGGATGTGGCGAAGGGTGAGTGCCCCTGAGCCCAATCTCCAGTATACTGCCCCAACCCCACCAAAAAAAAAAAAAAAAAAAAAAAAGGCTCTCAGGGGCATGGTACTTTTCTGTCCCCCTTTCCTTTAAGAATGACACAAGGGCTCTCTGCAGGCCCACTGTCCCCACCCCTCATTGCCGGGGGCCAGCCCGGCGGGGTCCAGGGAGTCCCGAAGGAGGAGTGGCGTCGGCGAAATGATGAGACAGGAGTCGTTCCCTTTGAGCAATCTTCAGAGAGAGAGCTAAAGCTGCTTTCTCTGGGTCCCTTTTTATTACAATTTTTCTCATCATTATAGATTCACAATACGTCATTGATTATATAACTTTGCCAAGACATGACATTTCCTTAACCATGATTGAGAGCACACCGATCTACATTCTTCCAGGATATGACCCCCAGCCATACAATCATCAAAGTACAGAATCATCAATAAAACATGTCACCAATTTACATCCTTCAGATTTTCCCAAGATTTACTATTTTTCCCAAGATATGTTATTTCCTTATTAACCAATGCCTAACTACGTAACCAGACTCTAAGTTTCTTAATTAATCATTAACCTAAAGTACACCTGCACTTTATTTTTAATCTAAAATTCCCATCTAAAAAAGTCCCTTTAAATCTTAACATTTAAAATGTCCTAAAGTTTATGAATCATCCTTAAAGCATATCAGAAACCTATATAACTAAAGACTTAATAATTTCTAAACTTARGAATCTAAATAAAATAATATTTTTAACATTATTCTAAAACTGTGTCTTATAAAGCTATTTTAATTAATTCCTAAATTTATTCTCATAAAACTGGTTGAGCTGCTTTCTCAGAGAGTTTCTTTTGTTTCTCAGTCAAGGTACACTAGTTCTCAAAGAGTTTGTTTCTCAGTCAAGGTGCACTAGTTCTCAAAGAGTTTGTTTTTCAGAGAATGATTGTTGTCTGTTATTAGGTTTGTCCACAATGTACTAAGATAGAAGAATAGCCTTTTATTTTGTCCTTGATATGCTGAGGGGTGGGTAGCAGAACAGCTTCCAAGGCATGAACTACCTGTTCTGTTCTAGCCATCTGAAATTTAATTTGTTTGCCATTTAACATACTCATGCCTCCTGTGAGAAACATAAGCATGAAAATGCAAAGTCCCAATTACATAAAAAAGGGTCTCATGGTTTCGGTTACCCACCAACCAGCGTGGCTTTGCCAGCATTCATCCTCACTGTGACCCTGTCAAGACAGTGGGAGAGCGGCTTTGCCAACACTTTTTCTCACTGTGACCCTGTCAAGACAGTGAGTGGGGGATCGCCTTCACCACCTCATCTTGCAGGGAGAAGCTGAGGCACAGAGTGGGGAGTTGGTGGTATAGACTCCCAGAGTACATTAGTGTCCCTATCAGGATGAGGGCCAGGCCCTGCCTGCACTTTCCATGCTCCTTCCTGACTTAGAAGGATCATGGAAAGGGATCGTGAGCACAGGTGCACAGCACACCCAGACTTCCAGGCCCCAGGGCCCTCTTCCTGTCTTCCATGTAGAGGTTGTCCCAGGGCAGGGCTGGGACACTCAGGAGGGTCCTGGAGCGAGTCTGAGGAAGGCACAGTGCGGGCCTCTGCTGGGGCAGGACTCCTCTGTCATGCGATTGACCAGAGCCCTCAGTCAGTCAGCCTCACCACAGGCCCCACACACAGCCAGCCTGGAAGGAGAGTGGGTTTTCAAGGTGGCCCCGCATGGGCCAAGATTGTCTGGGCAGGTCACGGCCTCCCCAGCTGTACCCGCTCTTGGCCTCCAGGCTCCACATTCCCCCACAGCGGTTAGAGTGACCCAGCTTCTGTTTCTCCCAGTGGTCATGTCAAGCTATCATTGAGCTTCAGATTTGAAGGTGGATAGGCTCTGAATTGTCTCTGGATGGCAGTGCTGTGGTGAAAATGGAAGGAGTGACCGAATCAGAGAGCCCCACAGCGTAACYAAGGGAAAACCTAAACAAACCCCTAGCTTCCCTGGTGTTCAGTTACTTGCTTGTAAAAATCACTAATGCTGGAGGTCACACCACCCAATAATATGTTATTAGATTCCCACCTGGGGTGTGGGTCCTGAGGATGATGGTCACCTAGGTTACTGGAAGCTACTGAGGCTGCTATGGTGGAAAGCACCAGCTCTTCGCTGGGCCCACGCCTGTCTGAGGGTGACTAACATGGAGTGAAAATTCTGGTGTCTCTGCATCTATGTGATACCTGTCTCCTTCGCCATCTTAACCTTTGGGTCAGACTATTTCTGCTCAACGCTGCACAGACACTTTAGTCATTTAAGAAATGTTTGTCTGGACCTGGTAGGACAAGGCTTCCTTATCCCAAACTTCCCGAGTCTCTCTCTTTCTCCTTCAAGGCTGAAGACACTAAGAAAAGAGTAAAAAAGATTTTTTTCAGGATTTACAGGGGCATCATGATTAACAGATTACCAACCACCAGGTTTTGTAACATCCCATTCCTGACTACTATAGAAGGACCTGGAAGTGTCCAGTCACCAGTCCTTTCTGCTCCTGGCCCCCTGCCTACCCGCTTGCTTGAGGATAGAAGGAGCTTGACATCTGGATTGAGTGAAGGTGGTCATTTTCAGACATCAGTCCACCATTTTACCACTGTGCTGTCATTCCAAATCTTTTTCCTTGCCACAATGACTTCCCCATTCACTTTTCAAATGGTGAGTAAACTGACTTGGGTTCAGTAACAATGTCACAGGGCAAGGTGAGGGCTTAATAAGCCATGGTACGGAAGGTGATAAAGATGACAGTGGTGGTAGAGTCACTCAGCACTCAGCACCTTGGAACCAAGCGCACTAAGCAAGAGAGAGCAGAGTCCCAGGGTGAAGTCAGAGCTGCTGAATGCACACAGCCCTTTGCCAGTGTAAGCCAGCATCGGCCCTGAACCTACACCTGGGCAAGGGGTACCATATTGGCAAAAGAAGTCAACCAATGCAATGTAGATTCTAGAAACACTTGCACACCAGGTCTGCTCCTGCCACTTGCCAGGCACTGGGGACAGAGCCACTGATGGGTTTAGGAAGAATGTGGGCTACATCAAGGGAAAGACATCTTTTGGGGTAAAGTAAGAAATACACATTCAAGGGAGCATGCAGGCTACCTCCAAGGGGAGCGACAACTACCCCTTGGCATAGGGTGCTAGTATTTATAGAGGAACAGTAGTTAGGAACTGGACAAGAGGTGGAACCAGGGCAGAGCAATGCAATTTCACTCCAGTTGTTCTAAAACTTGGGCATTGCCTTCATGTTTCTTCTTTCAGGTCAAGGGTCAGGGGTACAGGCCAAGGGCAAGGGCTAAGGACATAGGCTACACCGTTCACCAATGCTTGTTTTGCATTTCAAAGGTTCATGGGAGTTTCCTGAATTCCAAAGGCTCCTGGACACTTCTCTTTGAGCCTCAGTATGCCTTTCCTTTTCTGTATCCCCTAATTTGTACCTCAGGAAGACAGCCAGGAAGAGGCAGCCCCTATAGATATTCATGCAGGAGGGCATAAGGACCATCTGAGGTGGGCAAATGGTACCCAGAAAGAATGGAGGGGTTGTGGCCTGYTGCCCCCAGGTGACAGCCCTGCTCCCTGGTCAAGGACTGTCTCAGCTTGCTCACCAGACTAACAGGTAAGGATGATGATGTGGGTACAATGCTTTAAAATAGGGAGGAAGCKGAGAAGAGTGGGCAACTATAAAGGGACGAAGCCAGTTGAGAAGGTTCCCCAAGATGTGGKCCATGCCATGCAGCCTAGACATTGCCCTGAGCCTCAGGGTGACCCCAGGTGATCTGGGTTCCAACCACAGGTTCGGAGGTTGCCATGCACTCCAGGGGTAGAAGAAACAGCCAAAGGGACCTCAAGCTGGAACAGAGCCAGGCCTCTGCCCTCTCCTCCCCTTCCTTTCCTGGAACATGTGTCCTTGTACCACACATACACCTGGAGAAAACCCCAAGGAGGCAAGAACAGCAGGTTCCAAGATGGCCACATGGGCCTGGACCACTAGTCAGCATGGTGATCGAGCACCACTTCCCGGTACCACTGGGAAGACCC